AAGTAAAGCCAATGGGGTTGATAATATAAACTTGGATTATGGAAAGTGAAAGATTAAAAATTTCATACGTCTCAGCTCGGATGAGAATTAGTCGGAGCAATTATTTAGATCACCAGATGCATAACATACTAAAACATGAAAAAGATTATGAAGTGGGAATTTATTTTTCTAAAAAAATTCATATTAAGGGCGGAACAAACTTGCCTTTCATACATTAACTTTAACTATTGCTCGGACAAAATCAATTTCACCTTTGATTTTCATTTCGAGTATCATCGAACTCATAAATTTGAAAACAATTTCGGCAGAAAAAAGAAAACAGATCCTATTGGTAGTTTAAAGAAAAAGAAAGACTAATTGTTAAGAATTTAATTAACTACGATATCTTTCAAAAATCAAAAAGAAGATTTCTTCTTTTTTTTTCGAGTAGGAAAAACAAAATAAGAATGATTTGAAGAGTTTTATGATGATATCTCCCAACTCAATTGTCACAAAGAACATAACGTAGTTGGCGTCCCAAACTAATGGAACATACTAGTTAATGTTTTTATCCCTTTTACCCTATTAAAGCAGAATACATGATGTTGATGTGGCAATTTCTTATTAAAAAAATTTGGCTCCAAATGCACCATATTGCTTTAACCATGCTGCCACGTGTCATTCCTTTTTAAAAGAAAAAAAAACTTCTTATCCGCAAAAACAAAAGCTAATTTATAAAAATATCTACACAATTTTAACTCATAACACTTATCACTTATCAATCAAATTAAGATAGGATTTAAATTTGTCCATAAACTTATCCCTTTTATTACTTCACATTCTTTTGTATGATTTCTGCATCGGTGTACTTTTTAATATTTTTTCTTCTTTTGCAGATGATTTTTTATTTTTATTTTTATTTTTGGCTAAAAAAAGGAAAAAATAAATGTGTAACTATTTTATTTTTTCTAAATAAAAAATTCATTTATCTATTAACACAAAATTAAAGTAGAGGGAGCGTCCGAGTATCTGCCTGGACCAAGCATCTAGTTTGCATTTATAGCACTTACTTTGCACCAAAAAATGATGATATATCAATTTTAAGGATCCATGACATATCTACGGAAAAAAAAAATGTAATCGTACTGCCAAAAAATAATTAACCTTGTCTCCATAGAAGTCCATCAGGGGCAGCCAACCACCTTTGATCCACCTCTTCCCCGATGCAGCAAATATAATATCAAAAGGGAGTTGAATTAGCGTGTAAATAATGCCTACACCCATCACGAACACTAGATACCTGAAATATATAAACAGTATACCGGTGTATTTAATTAACCGAAAAGTTACAAACACAAGATTAATGATTCATTAAATATGAATTAACGAAAATGGTACAATCAGATTTTTTTTTTGAATCACAAAACACGACTTTCCAAGTAAAAAAAAAATACTCTTGGTTGATGAAAGACATTGAAATAGAAACCTAATAGTCCCTTCATCCCGAAGTATTATTGTCTGGTTTGGATATTTATTTTTAGTTCAATTTGTACTAAAATTAAAAATTCAAACTAGAAAATAATTTTCGAACGCAGTGAGTATAAGATTCTTGGATCTCTCGATCTAGCTATAAGGTTGGAGGAGGAGGTTCAGAAAGATGACTAACCTGTAAGCATGAAAATCGGTATATTTATAAGCGGAGCCATTACTGATTTTTACATTATCCGTCACCAGAACCACAGCTGAAGCGGCTAGGAGCAAAAGAGTAACAACCCTCAAACCTAACACTGAAAAGAGAAACTTCTGAAAAGACATTTTGTCAAATATTGCTACTTTGCTCAGCTCTTAAATCTTCAAATCAAAGAACACTTCTTATCGACCCTTTTTTTCTTTGCAAATTATTTAACCAATTTCTTACAAGTTCGTGGTGGAATAGAAGATGTATCCCTTAAATAAAGAAAAAAATGATGTCTTGTACTGTCGATAGCACCAAAGGTCGATTTTAGCCTGCAATTTTCTTTTTTTTTTTTTGCTTTTGTCTTCTTGATAGAGGACAGAGTTTGACCCAGTCGAGAGCTGGAAATTTTTGTTGTTTTTATTATCGAGATGCAGCATATTTTTAAAGTGATTTGCATTTGGAGTTTAGTTTATTTTGCTTGGTATCTTTTTGTTTTAAATAGCTTATTAAGCTAATTATTTGGAAGTGTCCGATTATGATCTTCGTAAATATGTAGTAGGATAGGGACTCCTTTCAATTTGTATGCATATACATAAGATACTCTCACGGCCATTTCTTATTGTAATCTCGTTAAGAAAAAACGCGGTAGGAATCTTCTTGTGCGTTTTTCTTTCTTTTGTTTTGATTTCTTTTTTTGCTTTGAAAAAACTAAAATTTGAAAATGGTCCTTTACATTAGATTATATATATATATATATATATATATATATTGGTTTTTTACATTGACATTTAGTTAAAATGATCCTCTATATTATAATTTATAACTTTTTGTTTTGTTTTGGCACTATTCTAACAGTTTGACCATTTGTAGGTTCAAGTCAACCAGGTTAGTTTTGGAATAAAAAACTAATTTTCAAAAAAATTGAATAAAATAACATTACAAAAATTAGAATAATTTCGTTTATAAAATAATTAAGAATAAATAAATATCAAATTAATCAAATTTTTGGAAGAATGTATTTATTTTTTAAATAAATATAAAATTATAATAAAATTGTACCTTCTTTGCACATATTTTATGTTATTTTAAATTTTGTGGGCTTGGGATAAAGAAAAAATATTACTTTAACATAAAAATAATATAAAAAGACTAAACTATGAAATTATTTACAGTTTAAAAAACTTAGTATTTTTTTAAAAATAAATTTTTAAATTTTTAAAAAGAATATTTTATTTATTTATTATTCTGAATTATTTTATTAAATAATGGGTACCTAGAATTTTATTCTGATCGATAATTTATTGGATGAAATCCCATAAAGTTACAAATAAAAATGGAAAAAATCATTTTAGCCCAATGTTAATATAGAGTACCATCCTAATATAAATTAAAGCACCATTTTCAGATTTTATTCTTTTGAGAAAATACATACTTTCGTTAATTTGTTAAAAATTATAAATCATGATTGACAATTGGAAAATACATACGTTATAGTACTGTAACTGCGTGCAAACTTCACTCTAATAATCAACCAGTCGGTGTACATGTCATATACAAGAACAAGAACAACCATCTTATTTCAATACATCACCAATTTTTCGATTGAAAATTTCAATTAATAAATTTAACAAATAGATCAATTGTGACTGCATATTCTGGAATGTAAAGTACCAAAAATAGAGGGACAAACATCACTGAAAAATCACCATCAATAGATTGGGATGTATTCTGAAATAAATACGATTGAATCTGTTGAAAGAATGATAATGTTAAAGATAATTTATGACAATATGTGGAAAGAAATTGGGTTTGAGGTCTGATTCTTTGTTAAAAGTTTTTCTAATTTAATAAAGAGTAGTGATGAAATTATAAGGAAAACTTTAAAGGTGTTGTGCCAATCATCCAAATTATACCCATAACTATAAATGTACAACTTCAAATAAAAAATGTTGAAAATGAATGGAAGTGATCATTTCTTGTCACTTTAATTTCCTTGTAAAGTTTTCATGACATGCATCATTAATTTTTTTTTAATAAAATGCAATTAATTTTTTTGTTTGAGTGTCATATATGAACCATTGAACGTTCATTTTAACCATAGGAGAAAGGACTACCAAAATTAATGGCCATTCACCGATTTCGGTTAGCATGATCTATAAACCAGACTCAGATATGCATAACATATGCATCATCTCGTTTACCTTTCTTTAACTAACCTTTTTTAAGTTAAAATGGGCGTCATCAGTAATCTCTTGAATTTTATTAAATAAAATAAAATACAAAAAACAATGATTAAGACTTGAGAATTGATTTTTGACAGTTCAGGCGACTGCCAGTTTAAGAATTTGATATCCCGTTTAGTGTTAAATGAATAAAAGAAAAAAATGACTTCATGTTCCATTGTTCCACATAGATGAATGAAAACTCTTGAACTCAACATATATACCCCATGTGCTATTCCCCTCATTGCCAATTGATTTTGAGGTGGAACCACATGTGGGCTTATATGGGCCTTCAAAATGGTATCAGAGCGGGTCTTAATCCGCGGACCTGTGGGACATGTGAGGCGAAGTGGACTGACCCAGATTGGGTCTTGAAACTTTGGTCAACCCATGGAAAAAATCCGGGGTTTGACTTTGAACTTTGACTGGCCCGGCAGGCGACAGTTTATTCGGAAAAATAACCGATCGCAAAATTGAAAAAAAAAACATAAAATTACCCGTCCAAACCCATTGGGTTTGAGAGGGGCGTGTTAAATGAATGAAAGAAAGAAATGACCTCATGTTCCATTGTCTCACATGGATGAATGAAAACTCTTGAACTCAATATATATACCCCATGTGCTACTTCCCTTATTGCGAATTGGTTTTGAGGTGGAATCACATGTGGGTTTCTATGGGCCTTCAAGATTTAGAGTATGTCGAGCAATAATTCTGCAAAAGGAGGGTCGATTTTGAACTTGTTTAGCCAAGAAGTCGGCGTAGGCATAGGCCAAAGACCCCAAAGAGCTAGCATGCAATATGTCGTTAATTTGCTTTTCAACAAACATTTGATAAGTTACAGTTAATTAGATAAATGAAAATCTTAACATATAAAAACCAATAATTGTTCTCAATTGCCATCCTCAAAACATATATTCTTCCGTCTCATAATTATTGTCCAATTTGAATTTTCACTTTTAATATAAATTGAATTAAAAATGAAAATTTAAACTGTAGAATAATTTTGGGACAGAAATCGTTTATTTCACAGAAGCTTTACAGACCTCCAAATCTCAGGAAAATTTATATGGTTCTTCCACTGATGAAATTAACTAATCAAATAAATTAATGTCACTTGAACATTAACCCTCTCCCTGATTTGATGTCTTCCTAAATGATGTAATGATAGAAGTTATCGCCATGGTTACAAACCCGCAAAGAAGCATGCCAGTCGCAATCATCGCTCTATCCAGACTCTCATAACTTTTTGACGCATAATTATCTAAAATCCGGGAATCGAAATTCAAGTCAGCACTTTGCTCAGCGTCCGCAAATATTCCCTTCAACGCCCTTTTAGCGTCAATGGTAAACCCGAACCCAACTCCAACTCCAGTTGCCAAAAGGAAGCTAATTACCTTAACAAAATATAATTCAGGAACAAAGTTAATTAATGCATGTCCAATGATAATTTCTTCTTCTTTTCCTTTTAAGAAGCATTTTCTCAGTTTGATTAAGAGGCTTTATACTCCAACTATTTGTGAATGAAATTAAAGTTTATTACTACTTGTGCCTCAAAAAAATGGTACACATTAATACTTGTACAAAAAATAATATATTCTTTTTAATATAAAAATACTATCATGTAAAAAGAAAAAAAAAACAAAAGCCACTTAAGCTAAGACTCTTTTCAATTATCTCTTCCCGTCAAAAAAATGTAAATTAAAAATTTTCATTTATTCTTTTATTCAAAAAGAAAAAAGAGGACTAGTGATCATATTTTTTATATTTTATTTTTTAAAGAAAATCCCATCCTGTAGGTCCTAGTAGTAGTTGAATCCAACTTTATAATATCTTTCCATAATCCATGTTACGGGCAAATTTTGTATGATATACTGAAATATAATCAAAATTTACTTACCAAATCTCCATAAAAATCAAACTCCGGTAGGCAGCCATGTTGAATCCACCGCTTCTCCTTGGCAACAAAATATATGGCAAAAGGGAGTTGAATCAGAGTGTAAAATAACCCTATAACAGCCACGGCCATGACGTACCTGTAAATTGTAAACATAATTTATTAGCCTCCATTTTGATATAACACCGTAAGAGAATTCAAAAGTTTGGCTAAATTTATAGGTAAAAGAATGGTTTTTGATGGATGATGGATATAGGATGCAATTATTCAAAACCTACATAGGATCTGTATATATAGTTAGGTTTTTGCTCCGTCCTATTTAATAATCTGATCATTTTGTTTAAAAGAAAAATTTGCTCATTAGAAAAGCAAACAAGTTAGATTCGTGCTAACCTGTAAGCGTAGACATCAGTGAAGGAAAATTTGGAGAGAACAGTGACATTGATATTATCAGTTGCCAGAACCGCAACACAGATAACTAGCAGTGTAAGAGTACAAACCCTCAAAGCTAGTACCGAAAAAGCTACACACTTTTTTGAAGCCATTGTCAAATATTCAGAAAATTCTAAAACTATTGATGGGAAACTACTTAATTATCCTCTCTGGAAGAAATATTTACCCTACTAACTATTTCTGATTGGGAAAATGCCCTTTATATACGGGGCAAAAAAGGTGCAAGTCCTATCCAATAAAATACTTGCTGTCGATATTACCAATGATCTTAGCCTGCAATTTTTTTTACTATTCTTTCTTTCCCCTAAGGTTTTGTATCACATTTCACTAATTTGACACTAATTAAATTCTTGAAACATTTCAAATCACTTTTATAACATACCATTTTGGGTACTTCAGTTAGTTTAACGGGATGAAATAGTACAAATAACGTGGATTGTGAAAATAGGACGGATAAGTATTTAATATTGTTTGATCGTCGAATATCTTAGTCGACAAATTACAATCATGCATGGAGGCTAGTTCTATGGAAATGATTGGCGAATAAATCGAGATGCAACAAATTAAAAAGTGATTTGGATATGGAAGTACTCATTAGTTACTGTACTTTATTGTATTATTCCGTATTAATTGAGTTTCTAGCTAGTTGTCTTTGCTTTTGAATCCTTTTAATTAAGCTAGTGTGTTGGAAGTTTGCTGGTGCAATCTTCGTAAACATGCATGCAACATAGGACAGCTTTTCTACCGTATGCACGTATATATAGTAATGATGTAATGTGGCTTTAATGCTTATAACAATATACTCTACCCGCCTCCGAAGTTGTTCTTATTTAGAGTTTAATAATCTACTTTATTGTAAGAAAAAAAAAGAAAAATTTTCCGTGGATTAATAAGATTATAGTTTTATTTAAAAAATGAAATGAATTTGATGATGGTTCGATTTCTTGTTTAGAAAAAGATCAACTCATGGTCCAACATTGAGTCTGCACATCGAGAGTTCAAAACATTAAGTATGAGCAGTTGGTCAGATATATATATATATATATATATATATATATATATATATATATATGGAAAATTGATTGAAATTAAGTTATAAATCTTAGATATTTTTTCATCATCAATATTTGTGTACATCTTAGTGTGAAGTTCCTAATTAATATTCATTTGATTAATTAGTTCATGATTTTGATAAATAGCAAACTCGTAACATTTTTTTATTAATAATCAGAAAAATAACAAATAAAAATGTGGTGATACATAAATAAAACCAGACAGTTATTCTCATTGTGCACCCTCCAAAGCAACCACATGTCTTCCAAACCATCTTTTCACCTCCAAATTTAGGGCAAACGCGATCGGGAAGTGACATTTATTTTCCTGTACTAATCAGCAGCATGCTTCCATTTATTCATGAACTTAATTAAATGTTGAACCGATTTCGATTTCACTTGAATCCTTTTTCTGACCTCTTAATGGAGGTAATAAGAGAGGTAATCGTCATGGTTACAAACCCACCAAGAAAAATGCCACTGGCAATTAGGGCTACATCCACAAACTTATATTTTTTTGCTTCGTAATCGTCTAAACCCGGGATATTAAATTGCGCTAATTCCTGATTTAGGGAAGCAAATTCTTTCTTCATTGCCCTTTTAGCATCAACGGATACCCCGAATCCGACTCCAACTCCACTTGCCAGAAGCAAGCTAATCGCCTGAATGTGATGCAAATTAAGTATAAGTGAAGGAAAAAAAAAAAGAAGAACAAGTGCAAGCTATTTACGACTTTCTGTTTAGGCAATCATCGACCACAAGAATCTCGACGGAAAATGAAAATTGATTATAGGTTAGTTAGGTAAAAATAGCTGGCACTTAATTTGTTTACGTTAATTTCCACCAAGTTAGAAACTTCTGTGGATGGTTTTATTATCCAAATCAGTTATTCATAACAAAAGAAGACCAAATTTTAACAACCAAAAACAGAAGCCACTAAGGCACTAAATTAAGCTGTATACAGTATATTGAATTTATTTATTTATTTTGGTTTCCTCAATAAAAATGATTTTGAAATCGATTTTTTTTTTAATTTTATTTGTCAATGACACTAAAAACAGTGAATTAAAGTAGAGAATTATATTATTCGAACCCACCGAATCATTGTTACAGAGTGCGTTATATAGAAGGAAAGTATAATGTAAATTTACAATAAAGGAGAAATACAAAATATCACAATAGACTAATTACAAGTTGATGATATCTAATTTCGATAATTTATGGTGTGGGTAATGAACTTGTTCATTTATAATACTACTTTCAAATAACAATAACTAACTAACCTTATCTCCATAGAAATCGAACTCGGGGAGGCAGCCAGTTTTGATCCACCTTTTTCCAGAAGCAGCAAAATACATGGCAAAAGGGAGTTGTATCAGATTGTAAACAACACCTACACCCGCCACGGCCACTAAGTACCTGTAAATGAAGTGATACAATACAACGTTCAGATTATCGAGTTTAATTTATTTTAAAAGTAATTATCAAACAACATTTATTTTTCCTCGCAAAATAATGATATAAAGTTGATGGAAGAGCTGTGTATAACTTTTTTTTTTTGATATTATATGACGTCAAAAAGCAAGACACAACTAAAACTAATACTCCGTCCTATAATTATTGTCTAGTTTGAGTTTTCATTTCTAGTTTAAGTTGTACTAAAAGTCAAAATCCAAATAGGACAATAATTTTGGGACAGAGGAAGTACTAAGATCTTCGAAACTCCCCCAACGACTAGTTGTTAATTATAACAGATTGAAATATCATTCCAAACTATTAAGCGAAATTGGCAAGGATTGTGATTCATGCACAATATCCTACAATTTTGACTAGAAACTTTTCATATTTCCACTAGAGAGAAAAAAAAAAGGAAAAAAATGGCTCGAGTGTACGTTCTGGTCTCCGCCCCTAATTTTTATTTCCTACATTCTTTAGTAGGTTTTACCTAATTTTTATTTCCTAGTAGGTTGTTTTTTTTTAAAAAAATATACTAGTATGTCATTCTCACAAATTGTCAAAGTTATCTTTGACTTTTATCTCAAAACCAATTGGCTGTGAGTGGATTGGCCTTTGGAGATTATAAACATGTGACAGATCATTCACGATACCAATGTGAGATTTTATTTCCCAACACAAATCGAAGTACATCTGACCATTTTGACCAACATTATCATATCATTAGAAATAAAATAATGTTTATAAAGAATTTTTATTATTTTATTATTAGTTTTATGGATAATAAATAAAAGTAATTTTCTATTTAAACTACATTAATTAATATTTTTTTAGTTTTAATAAACTTGCTAGAAAAACATAAAAATTGGAGGAAGTATACCATAAACTAGAAGAGAAGATTGAGAGTTGAAGAAAGAAGGATCGGACTAACCTGTAAGCAAGGACATCAGTAAAGTATATTTTAGTGTCATGATCTAAGTGGACCTTATCGGTGGCAAGAACCACAATGGAAGCTGCTAGAAATAAGAGAGTGAAAACCCTCAAAACTAGTACTAAGTACAGTAGCCCCGTCTTTGAAGCCATTGCCAAATACTAATTGCTAGCTCTGATCCTTTGTGTCTTCAAATAAATGACAAAATTGTTGGTCCTTTTTTTTTTTTTTGCAAGATATTAAATTAATCTTCCAATTTCATGGTTGGAAAAGTGCCCTTTATATACAGAGAAGGATGCACGTACTTCTCGTATCCTAGTTGACCATAATTGCCTGGAGGTTAATTCTATGGAAATGATTGGCGAAGTTTTTCAAGAATGCAACAATATTAATTCAAGTTGTTTGCATTTGGAGTTTAGTTGGTTTTATGGTACTATCTTGTTGTGCTTTGCCTTTGAGTAATCAATTCAGCTAATACTTTAAAAGTTTCCTAATGAAATCTTCGTAAATATATAGTAGGATGCTTCTTATTTCTAAACATATGTATTTACGTTGTCCTACCTAATAACTTAATAAATAATACATTCTCCGATCCTGTTCACAACAAAGGAGAATCATAGAAAAATAGAGGAGATCTTGATTTGTTAGTTCAAATGAGAAACCGACAAGGCGACAATGGTTATGGAACATTAACTTTCCCAAAAACAATGTCGTATGCCACAAATATGAGATGAATGTTGGCCCGACGACAAATAAAAAGGACACCACGGCGAGCAATGAAATTGTAGTTTGAAGTTACAGCGTACTGCCTCTATCCACTTTATTTGTCGTTTTACGGCAATTCAATTTTTTTTATCTGTCACATTTCATTTCCAATACAGTATTAAATATAATTTTTTCAATTAAAAAATAATGAGAAAAAAATAGTGATTGATGTAAATTCAACAACAAAGAGAATAGTTCATTTGATATAGAAGAATGCTTGGAATTGAGTTACATTAATATCAACTATTCTTTTAGTCCCAAAACGTTTGTCTTATTTAGATTTTCACGCTCAGTCCAAACTAATTTAAGACAATTGAAAACGGCAAACAAATTGAACACATATTCGAGTATTTACTCTCAATCTTTTTTCCCCTGTTTAATGTATGTGCATGTCATGGGAAATGGCACTGATCTTGGAACTCTTTTCCAAACAAGGTCTTACTATGTTCACAAAAATGAGAAGCAAGTAGGATCTATGACGTAACAACGTACGAACTAGCGAGGGAGATCTCAAAACAGGAGTTAAAAATTTTAAATGTCGCATCATAATATACTCACAATTCACAAAGTTATTTAACTAATCATCCATTGGAAGAAAGAAAACGTACGGCACAAACTAAAGTTCGATAATGAGGTCTAAAAGCTGTCATTAGCGAGGTTAAACATCTCAACATCGGACTTTGGATTGATTTCTTTCCGTACGATCTTCGCAAAGTTTGATTTCTTTTTCCTATGCTATTCTTGACTTATCTAACTAATCGGGAACGGGAAGGAAGAACAAGTACGACAAGACCCATAGTGGAGAGAACTATTAATTGATCTAGAAAAACTAATTCTCCCTCTATACCGAAATCATTTTCTAGTTTATGTATTTTTTTTTTATACATTACGTATCCAGTGTCGAAAATCATTGCATTGATTATCTGGATTCAAGAAGGATAGATTTGTTTTTTTTTTTTTGTGTGTGCCAATTTTCGTATTTTTTACGATACAAACAAGATAATCATTTCGGAATAAGAAATTTGTTTACCAAGGCGAATGAAACCTTCATCTCTTTCTAAGAAGAAAACTACTGTAAAGCAACTGAATCTAAATGTGTGATTGTTAAGTTTAGCTGAAAAGCTACGAAAATTTTCCATTTATTTAATCTATTTAAGATCCATTTTCCGAATAATTACCACAAATTTTCCAAGTACTGTTTTCAAATTTACAACAAGGTGGTACATTTATGTCCCAGTATCCGTGTTTCATATAATTATTTGCTCTACAAATCCAAATTGCATAATGCCAATAGAGACTTGCGTGACAATAATGCTTTGCGGAGGGCTACAGCTATTGATTACCAAGATTATGAAACTAAAATGTTATAACGAATAGGACCATCATTTTGGAAATGAGAGAGTAATTTAGTACATAAATAACAGTAGCAATTCTCAATTGGCATCCTCGCTAAAAGCCTCCCCATTCAACTCCAAAAATCTTTCTGATGTCAAATTTGAAAGGGCACTTATTTCTTCTTCTACGTAAAGCTTGATGTCCCATTAATTAAATGAGTTACTAATTAAATATTTTTAATTAGTAGTAGCTGATGAATTAATCCTCCCTTTTCGGACCTCTTTATGGAGGTAATGACAGAAGTAATCGACATGTTACAAATCCGCCGAGAAGAATGCATGTCGCAATGAGAGCCGTAGCCAGAAATTTGAACTCCTTTGATTCAAACTCATCAACGGCAGCAGATGATTGCTTTTATTGACCTTTTAACATCAACGGTCAATCCGAATCCAAGTCCAACTCCAGATGCCAACAGCAGGCTCACCACCTAAATGTTATAAAATGTAACATAATTTATCAACTATATACATTTTTTTTTAAATTTTCTTTAAACAACAACTATACATGTTTCCAACCATAACATGTAACATAATGGATCATTTGCATTCAAGTTTGTCAGGAATTTTGGCTCGGAAGATAAGACCCAGAGAATTCTAATCTCAAGCCCAAAAAAGTAAATAAGAAACCAATCTAAACCTAAAATCTACATGTAATAGGTTTTGAGACCAACTTACTTATTAATTACTCTTTATTGATCCCAACCTCAACACATTGTAGTTTACTTGGATTGAATTCATTAAAGAAACTTATTGTATTAATAAGTTAGTTTTATTATAAGTTTCTTCGCATTGTATTCCTATTGCGCTGAACCACCTACCTTGTGCACTTGTTTAGTTAGAAATATTGAAAAGCTAGCCCAAGCAAAGCTATGAGACTTGCTAGCATTAACAATTTTCAAATGAAACAATAATCAAACTCTGTTTTGTCATTGACAGAAGAACAAAAATAGAGGAACTGTGTGTTCACTTGATTATCTCCGAGATACAAGAACAAGCAATCAGCCATGCATGCATAGATCCAAAATCTCATATTATATATGGTATACAATATACACTATACAAAAATATGTACTAACACAATTTAGTGAAATTCCTATGCATGGAACAGTATCACATATATAATAGAATAGTCACGGAATATTATTGGGTACACCAGGACAGCCCTCAATATCAAAGTAGTGAAAAAGAAACGATCGGAATCATGGTCATAACAACGGTTTGGATTACTCGCGGTTCATATTGTAGTGCAAATACTACTTCTTCATATGTCCCCATCCCACAATTCTTCAACAGATTTAATTGGTCCATTTTTGTAAACAAAAATATCCCCAGTACCAACTCTACGTTGAGGAATCTGCAGAATTAGATCGTGCTCTTCTTTAGTGAGTTCCCAATCAAATATTTGAAGGTTTTGCTTCATCCTTTCCTCGTTGAAACTCTTGACTATTGGAGTTGCTTCTTGTTCATATATCCATCTTAGCGCCACCTAATCAAATTGCACAACAATTTGGTTTTAGAAACTATCTAATCAATTGGTTTTATTTGTTTGCGATAGAGTAAGTGACATAGTATAGTAGAAAGTGAACAGTATAGTTAAAGAATCCAAACTGCGGGATAGTTCTTGTCTTTATAAGAATCATATTTTTTTGTCTCAAAAAATAGTTTATATTGAGTTTGTATAAATGATTATGAACTATTTTGTTTTGGAATGGAAGAACAGTAATTGTTGGGTTCTTTATTGATGAGATAAAATTTTAACTATGAATACACAAAATCAAGAGGGAGTATTATATTTTTTTTTAAAAAAAAGAGTTTCAATGATAATTAAATAACCTGAGAAATGGTCTTGCTCTTAGAAGCGGCAATATCTTTGAGAATTTCATTCTCCATGACAGCATTAGAACCCCAAAACGCACGACCATAAGCTCCAAGTGGAGACCAAGCACACACATGTATTCCTTTCTCTTTGCTAAATGGCATCAATTTTCTTTGCTGCCATCCAACATTCATCTCTACCTGAAATAATTTAGCCATTATCTTATACTACATACAGAGACCATGTGATGATTTTATGAAAATTTCGTAATGATTAATGTAACATTTTGGACGATTTTAATTTATGTGACGTTATTCATTGTCGTTACGTTAACTATACGTCAAAATAAAATTACAAGAAAAATGTACCTGATTGACTGCAGGTGGGATGGTGGCATTTTCAAGGAGTTTTGAAATCTTTTCACAAGAAAAGTTGCTCAAACCAATTGATTTTGTCAAACCCAAGTTGGAGCAATCTTCCATGGCCTTCCATGTCCCAATCATATCGAAAGGCAGAACATCACCTTCTGTAAGCTTGAATGCATCTGCCTCCTTTTTGACCCTCACTGGCCAGTGAACAAGGTAAAGGTCCAAATACTCTAGCCCAATAGTCCTAATAATGATATTGAAATGTTAAATAAAAATAAACCAAAATGTAAAATCGATACTCTTTCTATTTCTAAATTATTGTTCAATTTGAATTTTTATTTATTTTTTAATTATTATTAGAGTTTGAATTTTCACCTATAACAGAAAATGAATTAAAAGTGAATAGTCAAACTGTGCAATAATTTTGGGACGAATGGAGTAATTATATAACCATGTGCGTTCAATATTAAAAGAATTCTAAAATGTGGATGAGAAATCTTACTCAAGAGTTTGCTTGAGCGATGGAAGAACGAGATCAGGATGATTTTGTGTAACCCAGAGCTTTGAGGTGATGAACAATTCATCTCTATTCTTTATCAAACCAATTTCTAAAGCTCTTGCCACTGCTTTACCAAGGGCCTCCTCTGTTCCATAAGAAGATGCTGTGTCAAAGTGCCTGTAACCAATTTCCATGGCCTTAAGAAAAATCGATATCGATTCTTCTAATAGTGGAAATGTTCCGCCACCACATCCATATCCAATTGCTGGCATTTTGTGGCCTGAATTCAACAATACTTCTGGGATTTTGGGTTCAACAATTTCCTGTTTTGCTGCCATTTCTATGCAGTCAGACCAAATCAATTTGCAAGTTGATTGTTTGATAACTTGAAATGGATATGAGAAATTTGTGATGGGTGTGTATGCTTTATGGGTTCGGAGGCTTTTGAATTTACACACATTAGTAATGGGTTAAGTGATGAAGTTAGTAGTAGACTGGATGATGAATATGAGATTTGTATCTAGATTAATTATCATAAGGTGTGAAATTTGTGGTCATTAATCAATGGGAAAAAAGTGGTGATGTAATGATTAAGCATGCAATTGGAGGAAATTCTTGTGGCGGTAAGAATTGTTGTAATAAAAAATTAGTAAGTGGAAGAAAAAGGTTAGCGTACGTGGTCATTATATTGGGAAAATTGGACATTTGTCAATTCGTGTATGATCTCATTTCTCACACCTAGAAAGTTTTAGAGTACCTTTGTTTCGTTTTTTATTGATTTTTTTATTTTATTATTAACTATTCCATCACATCATATTTTTTTATATTTTAAATATAAAAAATCAGGTAAGGAATTATCTCTACCTTTTTTATATAAAATTTCAAAATCAAAAGGGGCCAAATTAGCCTGCCATCGAGCATATATTTGCTTTGAAGAATCATGCTTATAATCTTTATAAATCATGTGTTTAACGTGAAGTGCATCGTATGAATTACAAACGACTGATTAAATAAATCATCTTGGAATTTTAATACACATTTTACAATAGCAAGAAATTCTTGTGCAACAGATTGCATATTTCTTTTGAGGTTCTGTCCATTTACCGAATGATATCTAATAAGATATTCATTATTATCATGAGGTTAACTGTTTCAAGATTCCACCGAATCCTATGCTACTAGCATCGTTTCTATTATCTTTTCCAATTTGGATTTGCTAATGTTAAACATGGTAGAGTTTTTACCTTTTCTTTTATTTGCTTAACTAATTGAGTATGCTTTTCTGTCAATCAAATTTAATTGATTTTTAAGCAAATCATATAGAATTGCTAAATCTTTCGTAAATTTTTATAGTATGGTGAAATATAATTCAAACTTCCTAGAAGTCTCGGAGTTGAATTTTTCAGTAAAAACATCGGAAATTTAGAAGAAAATTCAATTGATCGTTGAATAGGGTTATTTTCCCTTGACTTATTTGATGTCCAAGAAATCTTATATTATGTTGAAACAAAAGCATCTTTGGTTTAGATATTACTAAGCCATTTCGTAAAATAACATCCTTTAATATATTTAGATGTTTAAAATGTTGTTCAATATTATCGAGAATACTAAGATATCATCAATGTAAACAATTATAAAATCCATATAATGAATAAATATATCATTCATGATTTTCGAAATTCGAAGGAGCATTTTTAATCCGAATGGCATCACATTCCATTCAAATTGTCCTATAGGCACATTAAAAGCGAGTTCTATAAGTATGCTCAGGATTTATTTGAATTTACCAATATCCAGATTTTAAATCGAATTTAGAAAATATGTTGGCATTATACAATTTTGATAATAAATCTTTTTTATTAGGTATAGGATATCTGATCCATTTTAAAACTTTATTAAGGAGCTTATAGTTTATTACTAATCTTGGGACGCCACGTTCTTTTCATTGCATTATTAACATAAAATGCGATACATGACCAGGAGATTGTGAAGGTTTTATTAAACCCTTTTGAAGCAAAGATTGTAATTCTTCTTTACATAAATTCATATATACAGAATTCATTTGACATGGTCTTGCCTTAGTAGGAATATCCTTCTCATTAAAATTATCTTCATAAGGAAGATTAACTAAATGTTTCTTTCTGTTCCAAAAGCATTTGGGTGATCAGCACATACCGATTCTTGAAATTGTATTGTAATATGTTTTATTTTTCTTGTAATTTAGTATTACTCAATAATTCGGTATTGATAAATTCATAATTTCATTTTTAATGAAAAATAATTGTTTTTCTTTAGCTTCTATTAATGACCTAATAGACCTTGTTATAGGGTGCGAGACAAACTGGAAATTTATTGATTTATCTTTATAGGTTCCTGTAAAACCTTGAAAATTAACTTCTTTGAGTGGATATAACATACATAAAAATGGAAGTCCTAATATAATAGGCACTCCTGGCATATTTCTTACTAATAAAAATGTTTGTGGAAGACAAATATTATCTTGACAAACAAAAGCATTGGGCAATTTGTATGAGATATCTAATGTATGATTAGATGCGGATTTTAATGCATGCGAGGTTTTTTCAAAATATTGCGTAGGGATTAACCCTTCTTGAACACAAGACAAATCAGCACCACTATCAATCATTGCAACAGTGTTTAAGACAAATTGTCTATCTATCATTAGAGTTAATTTTATATACCATCTTTGAGATGTAATTATTTGTATTGTTTTTAGGAATTCATAATTATGATCTTCGATATATTTTCAGCTAAATTTGAATAGTTTGTGGATCAACTATAGAGGTTTCACCGATTGTGAATACTCAATTGTTTTAATCCTTTTTCTAATAATTCGTTATTTTGTTTCAAATATTTTATTTCATTCTTTATATTATGAACTTCTATTTGTAAGTCTGAAATAGTTATAAGCGAAGAAGATGATTCTTCTTTATTTAGTAATTTTTTCATTCTTTTTCTATTTCTGCATCGAATAAGGATTATTATTGAAAACTATATCCTTTTATTAACTTCCTTTTCTTTTTATTAGACACATCTATCATTTTAATTATTTTATCACGAATATCATGATCGGTATTTGTTTTAGTAATTCTAAAACATTATCGATTGTTAACATGTTAAATTGTAAATCTTGAAATTGAGATATAATATTGTAAAGACTATTATCCTTACAACAATCATTATTATTATTATTTTGACATGGAAGACATTCATCCGAAGAACTAGATGAATATTCATCATTTTCAAGCATATTATTTTCTGAGCTATTAGTTTCTTCTGTTTCAGACTCAGTATCTGATTCTTCTATTACTTTGCATATTTGTTCTTTAAGTTGTTCATCTATTTCTAATAATCTAATTCTATTAATCTTTTTACAATTAGGGGCAATATGACCCTTTTGACCACATTTGAAACATTTTATGTCCCTTTTATTTTTTCTATTAATTTTTCTAAATTCTCTTTGTTCTTTTGTTCTTTTACGTCGTCGTTTTCCTTTAGGTATATAAGGAATTTTATTTTTCTTCATTCTTTTATCCCTATTCTCTGGCCCAATATCCATAGCAAATTGATCACAGAACTGACCTAATTGTCTTCGTTCTGATAATTGTTGTCTTTTAATTTGTTGATTTAACTTTATTTCATTACATAAAGCTAATCCTTCTTGTGTACAAACACCTATTAAATGACCATAAGTATAATCATCATAAGGAATGTAAGGAAAATCTTTCCTAAGAACTTTTCTTATTCGTTCAGCAAACAGAGTTGGTAAGCCATCTATAAATTTAGCTTTCCAATAAGAGCTATTACTTTCTGGTAATTCCATGACTCTTGATAAGAATGAATCTTTATACCATCTAAAAGAAGTAAGTGTTTTACACTTAAAATTATTCAACAATGTTCGAATATTTTCTTGATTATTAGTAAATTTTCCAGAAAAATGTTCTAATATAGATGCTATCAAAGTATATACTGCATCTTCCATCATAATGGGTGTAGATGTTCCTTCATTCTCAATTTTTACTGTATTATAAATTTTTTGTCTATCATTTTCGTTAAATAATTATCCCACCATCCTTTAAGGACACCAGTAAAGCCACAAACAATCATTTTGCGATTGCACGATCGTATTACCATTTGCTTTTGCAACTGAGGAGTACATTAACATCCTATGCACCATATTAGTTAATTGCCTATCAGTAAATGCGTCACAATTCCATTCATAAACAGAACGACTACTATAACTATTAGTAGTTTCTTGATGTTCTTCATAAAGAAGATCTTGCGGAGAAGGTCTAGGGTAATAATAATGATTCATATATGGTTTATTAGCAAATTTATTATGTCTAGATTTATGAGAAAGACGATTTATTACATCTCGTAGAGTTTTATCAAAATCTTTTTGTATATTCTCAGAAAATTCTAAAGTGGATAATTTAAGGTTTTTAAATTTTTCTTCTAATAATTTTTCTAATACATGTGGAGATTCAAGATTATAATCTTTTACTATAGGAGGAGGTTGTATAAAATTTTGTATTTTAATATCCTTATTTTTGTTTTCAATCAAAACTGGTTTAACTGTTTGTTGAAGATTGTTTATAAGAGAAAATAATTTGTCAGCTTTATCATGTAAAGAATTAATTTGTTCTCCTAAAATTTTTACATATAAATTTGTATAATTATTTTGCTGAATAAATTTATTTACTAAAGAAACAGAGAAGGTAAAACTTCACTTTCAATCAATTTTGAAAGGCGAAAAAGTTATATGAGTTGCATTTGTTAAAACAAATTCTTTTTGGGGAGGGTAAATTCCTTTTGTAATTTTTCCATCTGCAAGATGATATTCTCTTTCGAGGAGGAAAATATATTTATCAAGATAAGTGATTATAAACCACGGGACAAAATATATTATTTGATTGTGAAAAGAAGCATATTCATAAAATTCTTTTTGTATAAGTTTTTGATTTTCAATATCATAAGTAGAAAAGAACCATTCTCTGAAAAGTTTCCACTTTTCAGATTGAAATTCTTGTCTTATTATTTGTCTAATATTAGATCCTGGACTAAAATCTAATTTTTCAGTATTCGCCATGATAACCCATTTCAGAAGGTGAAGGCATATCCTTATCAAGTGTCTTACTATCAGCAGACCGAACAATATTATATGGATCAATTTTTACTTGATTTATTCTATTTGTTAGATCTATTTCAGGAATCGAAGATGTCGAAAATTTATGAGAATCGACTGGATCTATATAAGATTTAAAAGATCTTTGAGAGATGGATCTTAGTAATTTAGGAATTTTATCAAAAGTAATACTTATCTGACCATTATCAGATTGTTTAATTTCTGTAACATTACAACTTGTAACATTATGAGTTAATGAGTCTCTTTTAATTCCTTTATTAATTTGCCAAGACTCTGGAAATTCAATTTCTTCTCATTTTATAGTTTTACGAGTACTAATTTGAGATTTATAAAAATTAGTTTCTATTAATATGGTTTCATCAGATGGTTTACTTATAATCTTACATCTGGGTGTTAATGTATTTAATAATTTAAAACAAATACGGTAATGTAAACAAATAAGTTCACTTCGCGGTAAATAATTATAACCATGTAATTTCACATTTAAGGTTAAAGCATCGAGTATATTAACATCAGACAGTGATAGCTGTAAATTTGGGTAGACATTAAAATAAACTGGACCATGAGCTAGGCTGGACTGTATTATGCCCATTAGGGATTTTTTCCAATGTAAATTTCTACCATCACGTAAGGCAAGCAACAAAGATTCAGTAAACCTTCTAAAGTTAAAGGTTTAAATGCAATTTGCACCAATCCAATATGCATGAACTTATAATTTTTATGAGATCTATAAGATTCAATATCTCGTAGGCACAAAAGTTGTAAAACCCTTTCATCAGAATTTAAAGCAATTGATTGTTCAGTAGTTTTAACTACCTGTTTAACCAAGTATCGATCAAACATACCATATTCATACAAAGTATTAGTGGGTACCTTTGGTATTGACCACTTATTAAGAAGAGCAAGCTGTTGAGGCATATCATATTCCTCTTGAACTGAATTTTTTATTGAAGTAGTTTCTAAATTATTCATTTTTAAATTAGGTTCTGAATCAAACAAATATTTTGTAAACATAAAAAATACATAACCGCTCTGATACCATTTTGGCGTGGGGCTGGGGCCTGGCCAGTGCTTATCTTAGCCGGTAAAACCAGGCAAACAGACTAGCAAGGAAACCAGGCCGGAATTCAAACCACCACCCCGGCCGATACCATTCATCCGGAGCTATGCCTTGTCACCACTACGGGATCAAAATCTCTATCCATCCTTAATTAAAATATCAATAATCGAGATGCATGGAAAAGTTTCACCCAACTCTCAAGCCTGTCTGAATTCACAACTTATTGTGCATCATGTGGCCTCTTTTCCCTAAAACAATTCATCATAGCGGGTACTTTTCCACCCAATGCACTTATTGTTGAGTTTTCCGATGAACTCGGGATTGGAACCAATCTCAAATCATCGTATTTTAATTAAAGAGAAGAAGGAGATAGAGCTTCCATGTATAATTTATGTAAACAAAAGCCAAATGTTTGATTCAGACAAAGGATTTACTCAGACATTGTCTGAGTACTTCAAACTATAACTTAAAACAAACTTAAAAGAAAATATTACCTTTAAAGGCTTCTGTAGAAGATAAGGAAGCTAGTTAACTAAATTGCCACGCTATAGAATAATTATTCAATTTTTATAGTATTATTTTAACATAACAAAATATTTTGAAATAGAAAGACTGGAACTACCTGTTAAGAGAAGGTTTGATTTTGATTGCCATCTGCTGGAGAAGGATATTCTTCATTCCTACCATCTCATGTGTAACCTTACAGCATCTTCGAATATAAGGAATTTTTCTTCTCTATTAATTATTACTCTTTCTGTCCTGATAAAATAGTCCAAATTTAATTTTGATATTTATATTAATTTTAATATAAATTTGATATTTATATTAATTTTGATATTACTTCTTTTGTATTGACTCCACCCAAAAATTTATTCAAAACAGTTGATGTGTCAAAGTCATCTTTTTGTTCGAGGATGTAAATTTACAGAAAAATAATGAGAATAATGCCAATCAACCGTTCTCATAAGTCATAACACGCGAGTACGTAGCTAGCTCAGTTGCGATATAAATACTCTCTCCATCCTAAATAGCATAAATTAAATAACATAATTATTTTGAGACGGATGGCGGAATTTTTCTTTTAAAAATCGCTAATTTGATTAAGAAGGCTATAAACAGCCATTTTCCCCATATATAGTGACCACAATTTTTCCAATCACTTTCTTCACGACAACATTTCCTACCGGACACCACATTTTCTCCAATTCCGTGTTCAATCGCCTCATTACTTCCTTCCGATTTTGATTTAATTATGACCATGCATTTGATATCTAGCTAACAAACCAGCTGTGTCGTGCTATATTGTATCATCTCGTTTTCTTTGTCTCATTTGAGTATTAGTTATATATTTCTTTCAACTTCCATGCAAGAGACCTCCAATCCTTAAGTATAATACACATCCTTCCCAACTTTCCTCAATATCAAATTTTGAACCTAGAATTTCGGTGTTCTAATAATCCCTCCAAGACAATACCAACTATCAATTAGTTTTTAAACTGAATTTTTGGACTACATATATATGGCATCAAAACCGGGAAATTCCGAACCCAAAGTCCCGAAAATAGTGTTGAATTCAGGCCACAAAATGCCCGTGATTGGGTTCGGATGCGCCGCCGGTAAACTTCCACCATTGGAGGAATTGACATCAACTTTTGTCAAGGCTATGGAGGTTGGCTACCGGCACTTTGACACTTCATCTGCCTATGGAAGTGAAGAGGCCCTTGGTAAAGCCGTGGCTAAGGCTTTGGAGATGGGTTTGATTCAAAGTAGGGAGGAATTGTTCATCACTTCTAAACTTTGGATTACTCACACTCATCATGACCTTGTTCTTCCAGCTCTTAAGCAAACTCTCGAGTAAGGTTTCTTCCCACTCACGCCTCAAAATCTATTCATTTTTGTTTCTGTTTTGATTCTTAATGCCTATATATATATATATATATATATATATATATATATATAAAAGAAGATGATATATACATAAAATTATCCGTGAAATTACCAACTGACTAATGATATAGAACGAAATCAACTTTGTTACCATGTGAAATAGTCCCTCAGGTCCTTATTATAAGACATTTTGACTTTTTCTAGATTTCACTTAGTACACATTTTTAATTGACAAAAAAGTTTAAAAATCTTTCATAACAATCAAGATAATACAACAACTGTGAAAATATTTGTTTAAGTTTTTTTGGTCAACCAAAAATACGTATTAGGTGAAACGTAAGACAAATCAAAATGTCTTATATTAAATACTAGAGGGAGTACGTAATAAAAGGTGTCCTTGCGTCTTATTCATGCATGCATTGTGTGCTAATATTGTATTAGCCAATAGTTTCATTATAATTATTTCTATTATTGCTCCTATATTACCTATAGTAATAATTTTAAGTGCTGAAGAACTAATTCTTGTACCTCAAGGGTATATAAACATTTGATGGAGCACAGATTTGTCGGGCCGGGGTTTCCACCTTATGCCGTAATAGTTTGATTGCTTATTAATTAACCTTTGGCGATCTCTATAGTACTGGGGAATTGTTGGGCCCGGTATTCTCCTTAATTGGGTCAACAAGGAAACTAATAAAACCAAGCCAATTTTGGCTTTGGTTTTAGGAAACAAAACCTACTCCAATTGGGTTTTTTGTTTTTAGGTTTTTTTTGCTCTATAAAAGCAAGGCTTTGGCATAATTTTTAGGGGTATATTTTTCAGCCAAGAGAGAAGAAAAATTTGGGCAGCCGTGCATTGTTTTTGTACGAGAGAAAAAGGAAGAAAGCTAGGGTTTAGTTTTCAGTTTAGCTCTCTTTTGGTTAGATCCTTCCAGCCCTACTTTGTGATAGGTGTGTGTGGAAGAGTATTGTTGTAATCCACCTTTGGGTGAAGTCCTGTGTATCCACCAGTCGGTGAAGACTGTTTTCCCATTATTGTGATAGTGGAGATTTGACTGTTGTTATAGTCTCGTGGTTTTTCCCGATTTGGGTTTCCACGTAAATTTGCGTGCCTCCTTTATTTTATCAGTTCTTGAGTTAGTTGCTTGTTTGGGTGGTTGTCCTATTTTATTGGTAGTAGGAAAGGAGTTTTTCTTGGGGCTCGCTTCCGCAGTGTGTTGTGCTTATACCCTTTCCGCCACAACAATGGCATCAGAGCTACGGTTCGGTAATTGAGGTGTTACACCAATAAAATGGAAGAGTCATCGAGTACTGGTACGATGATTAAATTGACTTCATCCAATTATCATATGTGAAAGCCTAGAATGGAAGACTTGTTGTATTGCAAAGATTTGTTTGATCCTGTTCTAGGGGATGAAGGTAGGCCAAGTGATATGACTGATAAAAAGTGGGCTGATATGCACAGGAAGACTGTTGGTAATATTCGACAGTGAATTGATCAAAGTGTGTTTCATCACTTTTCGGGAGAAACAAAAGCGATGAACTTTGGGAGAAAATCCGAATATGTCTTGGAAGAAGTCCGGCATCAATAAGTCATCTGCTGAAACAGTTACTGAGGTTGAGGTACAAAGATGGTGCTAGCATGAATGAGCACTTGAGTTCGTTTGGGGTTTGTTGAACCAAGTGTGAATGTAGGTTTAAAGTTGGATGATGAGGTGCGAGCTTTCTTATTGTTTAGTTCTCTTCTAGACAGTTGGGACACTTTGGTAGTGTCAATCAGTAATTCAACTCAGGATGGTGTCTTGACCTTGGATCAGGTCAAAGAGGCTTTGATGAATGAAGAAGTCGAAGAAAAGAGCGAGTATTGTGTCGAGTCACGAGGCTTTGGTGATGAGAAAAGTCGATAGAAGAGGGAGAAGTAAAAGCAGAGGGCCACGTGCTCGGAATGACAAGTCCAGGGGACGGTCTAAATCCAAGAAAGATGTCGTGTGCTACCATTGTCAAGGGAATGGGCACTTTAAGAGAGAGTGCAGGGTTCTCAAGAGAGAACTAGCAGCGAGAAAAGATAAAGGCAAGACGGATGAATCAAGTGATGATGACACTACTGCAGTAGTAACTACCAGTGATGTATTTGTGTACTGTGATGATGATACAATTAATGTTGCGAGTCACGACAGTGATTGGTTCGGTGATTCAAGTGCGTCTTATCATGTGACGCCTCACAGACACTTGTTTACCTCTTACATACCTGGAAATTTTGGTTGTGTAAGAATGGGCAACCAAGCCTCATGCGATGTTGTTGGCATGGGAGAGGTATCATTGGTAACGAATACAGGTTGTACTCTTGTCTTAAAGAATGTCAGACATGTTCCGGATATGCGTCTGAACCTTATTTCCGTTGGTAAACTTGATGATGAGGGTTATCATAGCACTGAAGGTGGTGGTCGTTGGACAATTACCAGAGGGAATCTTGTTATTGCTAGAGGAAAAAAGTTGAACTCTTTGTATGTGTTGAATGCAAAGTTGAAGAATGGAGAGGTGAATGCAACTCACAATGCCTCCATTAATCTCTGGCACAGAAGGCTTGGACACATGAGTGTTAAGGGGTTGCAGATTCTTGGTAAGAAGCAATTTCTCCCAGAGGTGAAAGGTACTGCTCTAGAACCTTGTGTTGACTGTATCTATGGTAAACAACATAGGGTTTCCTTTCAAAATTCTCCTCCATCTAGAAAGTCCAGTGCTCTAGAGTTGGTTCATACAGATGTATGTTACATGAAAGATAGGTCGTTGGGTGGAGCATTGTACTTTGTTACTTTCATTGATGACTATGCTCGAAAGGTTTGGTGTTTTTCTTTGAAATCTAAAGACCAGGTATTAGATGTGTTCAAAGACTTTCACCTTAGAGTTGAAAGAGAGACTGGCAAGAAGTTGAAGTGTGTTCGAGCAGATAATGGTGGTGAGTACAGGGGTCCGTTTGAGAAGTATTGCCGAGACCATGGCATTAAACTTCAGAAGAGTGTTCCGAAGACTCCGCAGCAGAATGGCGTGGCAGAAAGAATGAACAGAACTATTACCGAAAAGGTTAGGTGTATGCTCTCGAATGCAAAGCTGCCTAAATCTTTTTGGGGTGAAGCCATGCAAACAGCAGTTGATTTGATCAACCTATCTCCCTCAGTTCCGTTGGATGGTGATCTACCACAACGAGTTTGGACAGGGAAAGATGTCTCATTTAGGCATTTGCGAGTTTTTGGTTGTCGTGCCTTTGTTCATATTCCCAAAGATGAAAGGTCGAAGCTTGATGGCAAATCCAAGCAGTGTGTATTCTTGGGGTATGGAAATGATGATTTTGGGTACAGACTTTGGGATCCTGTAGAAAAGAAAGTTTTCAGAAGCAGAGATGTGATTTTCTTTGAAGACCAGACCATTGAAGATATGGGAAAAGGCGAGATGCCAGAATCTTCACCTGAGATTCCTGTTGATTTAGATCCAGTTCCTCCACAATCAGATGATTCTCCAGAAGGGGGAGCTGAGACAGAGCAGGATGGTGAGTTTGATGATGATCCTGCTACTGAAACAGAGACACCACCGGTTTCATCACCTCCTGTTCAGCCTAGGAGGTCCACCAGAGACAAGAGACCTTCCACCAGGTACAGTGCTCATGAGTATTTGTTGCTTACTGATGGGGGAGAGCCATAGTCGTATGAAGAGGTTCTTAATCATGAGCAGAAAGATCAGTGGTTAGCAGCCATGCAAGATGAGATCAAATCCTTGCATGAGAATAACACGTATGACCTGGTGAAGCTGCCTAAGGGCAAGAGAGCACTCAAGAATACATGGGTGTTTAGACTAAAAACAAGTGAGAACAGCTCACAACCGAGGTACAAAGCCAGATTGGTTGTGAAGGGATTCAATCAGAGAAAGGGCGTAGACTTTGATGAGATATTCTCTCCTGTTGTAAAAATGTCTTCAATCCGAGTTGTGCTTGGGATAGCAGCCACTTGAATCTTGAGATTGAACGACTTGATGTGAAGACTGACCTTCCCGCATGGTGATTTGGAAGAAGAGATTTACATGGAGCAACCAGATGGGTTTCAGGAAAAGGGGAAAGAGAAGCTTGTATGTCGTCTCAACAAAAGCTTGTATGGGTTGAAGCAAGCTCCAAGGCAATGGTACAAGAAGTTTGATGCCTTTATGATAGGGCAGGGATACCAAAGGACTACAGCTGATCATTGTGTGTTTGTGAAGAAATTCTCTGATGGTGATTTTATAATTCTTTTGCTTTATGTCGATGACATGTTGATTGTTGGTCATGATATTGCAAAGATTGCCAGGTTGAAAAAGGAGTTGAATAAATCCTTTGCGATGAAGGATTTGGGTCCGGCTAGACAGATCCTTGGGATGAAGATTTCTCGTGACAAACAGAATGGGAAGCTTTGGGTATCTCAAGAGAAGTATATCAAGAAGGTTCTTGATAGATTTAACATGAGCGGTGCTAAGGAAGTCTCGACTCCACTTGCAGGGCATTTTAAGCTAAGCAAAACGCAGTGTCCTAAAAGTGAGAAAGATAAGGAAGAGATGAAAAAGGTTCCTTATGCTTCGGTAGTTGGCAGCCTAATGTATGCGATGGTTTGCACAAGGCCAGACATAGCTCATGTAGTTGGGGTTGTTAGTCGGTTTCTCTCCAATCCTGGTAAGGAGCATTGGAATGCTGTGAAATGGATTCTCAGGTATCTTAGGGGTACTTCCAGATTGAGTCTTTGCTTTGGCAATGGAAAGACCATGTTGGATGGATATACAGATGCTGACATGGCGGGTGACCTTGATGGTCGAAAGTCTACTTCTGGATATTTGATGACTTATGGAGGGGGAGCGGTTTCATGACAGAGTAGATTGCAGAAATGTGTTGCTTTGTCTACTACAGAGGCAGAGTTTATCGCAGCTACTGAATCTTGTAAGGAAGCACTTTGGTTGCAGAAGTTTCTACAAGAGCTTGGCATGAAGCAAGAGAAGTATGTGGTGTATTGTGATAGCCAGAGCGCTATTCACTTAGCGAAAAATTCCACATTTCATTCGCGGTCAAAACATATTGATGTGAGATATCATTGGATTCGAGATGTGTTGGAGTCCAAGGCGTTGTTTCTTGAAAAGATCCATACGATGACAACGATGCCGATATGTTGACGAAAACTGTGAGTAGAGAGAAGCTTCTGTTCTGTAGACAGGAAGCAAGTTTGGTTTTACCCCCCAATTGAGGTGAAGGGGGAGATTGTTGGGCCCGGTATTCCCCTTAATTGGGTCAACAAGGAAACTAATAAAACCAAGCCAATTTTGGCTTTGGTTTTAGGAAACAAAACCTACTCCAATTGGGTTTTTTGTTTTTAGGTTTTTTTTGCTCTATAAAAGCAAGGCTTTGGCATAATTTTTAGGGGTGTATTTTTCAGCCAAGAGAGAAGAAAAATTTGGGCAGCCGTGCATTGTTTTTGTACGAGAGAAAAAGGAAGAAAGCTAGGGTTTAGTTTTCAGTTTAGCTCTCTTTTGGTTAGATCCTTCCAGCCCTACTTTGTGATAGGTGTGTGTGGAAGAGTATTGTTCTAATCCACTTTTGGGTGAAGTCCTGTGTATCCACCAGTCGGTGAAGACTGTTTTCCCATTATTGTGATAGTAGAGATTTGACTGTTGTTATAGTCTCGTGGTTTTTCCCGATTTGGGTTTCCACATAAATTTGCGTGCCTCCTTTATTTTATCAGTTCTTGAGTTAGTTGCTTGTTTGGGTGGTTGTCCTATTTTATTGGTAGTAGGAAAGGAGTTTTTCTTGGGGCTCGCTTCCACAGTGTGTTGTGCTTATACCCTTTCCGCCACAACAGGAATAATATAGTAAACGCTTCCTTGAAACTGGGTTTTGGTGGATCAATTGAAAACAAGATTATCTTATTATCAAAAACAAAAAATAATAATAATAAAAAAAAATCTCCCTGTTGAATTTGGGTTTTTGACGGAATTTTATTTTTATTTATATTTTTTTTTCTTCCAGAGTAATAATATTATCAAAATGTAGGAAATACTGAATAGATTTAACATATTTTTTCTTTGTTTTCAATTTTATAACATTTCACTATCTATAGGACCATGGGGCTAGAGTATTTGGACCTTTACCTTATTCACTGGCCACTGAGAATCAAACAAGCAGCTAATGCTTTCAAACAGGAAGAAGGGGACGCTCTACCATTTGATATGTATGGTACGTGGAAAGCCATGGAAGATTGCTGCAAATTGGGTTTGACCAAATCTATTGGTTTGAGCAACTTTACGTGTGAAAAGATATCAAAACTCCTGCAAAGTGTCACCATCCCACCAGCGATTAACCAGGTATCTAATTCTACTAGCAACTTGTATGATTGTCATGTGACAAATGATGAATATAAGATCCAAATTTTAATTATTAAGTGAATGCATGTTACATTATTCACCACACAAAGATGTGATTTTGTATACTTTGCTCATGCTCCTACTTTAACATGATTTACATATTCTTCGCTATAATTAGCATTGCGATAATATTGATACATTTTGGCAAGTTAAAATTTTCAGGTGGAAATGAATGTTGGTTGGCAACAACGTAAATTAATGCCATTTTGCAAGGAGAAATGTATAAATGTTTGTGCATGGTCTCCACTAGGAGCTTCCGGTACTAATTGGGGCTCCAATGCTGTCATAGAGAATCAAATTCTCAAAGATATTGCGGCCTCTAAAAGCAAGACCATTGCTCAGGTTTTTTAATTAATTAATTATTTGGCGTTCAAACTTAATTTTTATATGCCATTTTGTGTAGTTATAGTCCTTATTATTTTAGTTCCTATATCCTAAAATTATTATTCAATTTAAATTTTTATTTTTGTCATAATTTTGAGACAGAAGAAATATTACTTTTTCAGAATACATTCAGGAGTTGCGCTGAAATAATATATATATGTATGTATGTATGTATATATACATGTGGGATTCACTGATAAAAGAAATTGTTGATGCAATATATAGGTGGCATTGAGATGGGTATATGAGCAAGGAGCAACCCTAATTGTAAAGAGTTTCAACGAGGAAAGAATGAAGCAAAATCTCCAAATATTTGATTTTGAACTCAGCAAAGAAGAAAAATATCAAATTCTACAGATCCCTCAGCGTAGAGTTGGTAGAGGAGACATTTTCATTCAAAAAAACGGGCCAGTTAAATCAGTAGAAGAATTATGGGATGGGGAGATATGAAGGAATTTTGCTGCAAAAAGATAAGATCCAAATTCATAATGGAAATATCCATTTGTAAGATCCATTTGATTTTTTTTTTTTTTCATTTCAGGCTAAATCAATTTCATGATGGAGTAAACTTGACCATATTGGTGTTCATTTTTTCAGCTTGAGCTTGTTGCCTCTGTCGGGTGGTTCTGGCCACCAACAATGTCGAGTTTAGTGATGACTCTAAAATATCTTTCAGTCATCTCTCCTTACTTTCGTTTTCGATTATATATATATACCAGTGCAAATAACAGGGAAATAATAACCCTCCGCCAAGGTTCGACACCTTGAAATTAAAAAATAATAATAATAAAATATTTGAGATTTGTATTGTTTTTCGGGACCCAAAAAATATATAATGGTTAAACATGATTCGTTTTTTGGAGATTAAGTAGTCCTTCCTGTCCTTATTAGAATATATTTTGATATGTACTAAGTTCTACCTAGTATGTTTTTTTAATTTAAAAAAAATTTTAAAATTATATTTTAATATTCATTGTGTTCTTTTAATTATTAAAAAATATTTTTAAGATTTTTTTTTCAATTAAAACCTATGACAGATCAAAAGGACCAGAAGGCGTAATACGGTATATACTCGCAAATATATCCACTAATTAATCTTGAACATTGCATACCTGTCCACTTTTCGCTGCGCTTCTTCAGAAAATTTCATATCAATGATCAGAAATGCCCATAAGGAGGCTCAAAGTCAAAATCAAATCATCAGTTTGAGTCACGTAAATTTTACTTAATTCACCAAATTGACCAAACTGTACTTGATAATAATAATAATAATAATAATTATAAATAATAATAATAATAATAATAATAATAATAATAGTCCACCTTATTGGATCCTGAATCGATTTGTGAAATTAGTATTATTATTTTTAGTACTATTTATACTAAAACTAAAAATTTAAGTTAAACAAGTTATTTTGGGATAGATGGAAAATCATTGTAGGAGTAATGATATATCACTCTATTATTAAAACTCTAATTATAACTCTAGATACATGCAATCCCAATTGTCATATCCACGTCATCTCCTTATATAATTTTATACTCCCTCCGTCCCATAATTATTGTCCAGTTTTACTAAAATGAAAGATTTTATTTTTGGTCAAACTTAACTATATTTTATCTTAAACAACCGGATATAACCCTACATAAATAATTGTTTAACCACTAAGATTTTATAGATAATGTTTTTTACTAAGGACAAATGTATAACTTGATCCATAAAAAGTCAAATTGGACAATAATTTTGGGATAAAATTTTTTGGGCAAAGTGGACAATAATTATGGGACGGAGGGAGTACTAAACAAAGATTAAAACCAGAATTCATCTCAATTTCTTATAACTATTCTTCTTCTTTTTTTTTCTTTCATTCTATTGCATAAACTGATGGCCTTCTGTGGGTGTTCGGGTCTTAACAAATCTTAGGTTTCGTCACTTCATATTTAACCTTCTCAGCCTTTCACTCCACTAAATATGGATTAAGCATCCGCAAAACATCGCACACAACTCCATTGAATTTTGAATGTCTAGCGTCTATACTTTGCAATTCCCTATAATATAAATTTTTGGCAAATACGAAGAGTTGCTGAAATAATCTGCCTCCACAATAAATTAACCATCATCGCCTATCTGCTTCACAGAATTCCCTCTCGAATCCTCAATAACCGTTGCTTTTTTGCATGCCTCTTCGATTTTGACTGCGGCGACCCATCGTGAAGTGACGAAAAACTGGTGCAAAATCGATGGAATTTTGTGAATATAATGATTTTGCGAACTGCAGCCCCGATAAAGTGTCAACTTTTCGATCGGGAGGATTTGTGATGGGAATCATAATTGTTTCCGACGAATAGAGACAGGCATGGTTAAGGAGAGAGAAATTTTCCGGCCTAAGAGCACCGTCAAATTTGGTTTTCTAAATAAGAAAGTGAGATGAAGCTTCTAAATAAGAAAGTGAGATGAAGCTCGTTTTTTCTAACACTCCCTCCGTCCTATAATTATTGTCCAGTTTGGATTTTTATTGCTAGTATAAATTGTACTAAAAATGAAATCTTAAACTGAACAATAATTTTGGAACAGCGAGAGTTAAAGATATTATAATAAATATACAAAATGGTTAAAAATTATCATAAATATATGAATGATTTGGATACGACAATTGGGATCGCCGTGTGTGTAAAGTTATAAGTAAAGTTATAATAGTAGAGTGATAAATTATTACTCATCATTTTAGTTCAACAAAATAAATTTTTTTTTTCCGGGAACAGGGAGTATATTCTAAGAAATATAGTCCTCTTCTTTTTCGATATTATATAGATTAAGACACCAAACTAATTCGTACGGTATAGTTCTTATTGTTATTAATTAAATACGTCATGGGTGATGCCAAAAGTTTAGAAAGAGGCAAAAAGCACGAAACAAAGATCTAGAAATGATATTTGAGAGGTAAAAAGTCAAGGGTGATAAAAGCAAAATGACATTATTTTAAAAAAAGAGGGGCACAAGTGGAAGTTAAAAATTTACAAAAATTTGCAGTTTGTAATCCATCAATTAATAACATTGAAAAAATGTGCTTAGTTTCTAAAATGAGGGCTCTCGTTAGGGGAAGAAATACAGGTTTAAAAATTAGTACTTTTTCTATAACTTGCACATTAAGTCATTTTGACTCGCTTCATCATCTCTCCATTTTTGTAGACTCCATGCAAAAAATTTTCCAATAACAATAAACAAAGTCAAAGTCAAAGTCACCTTAATTTTCATTTACAATGAACCTTAAATAACAAAAAACTTTTAGAAGACAAAATAAAATGAGATTTTCTCAACAAGAATTAAACTATCAATCTCATGATTGATAATAACACAATTTCCCATCCAAACCCATTAATTAATCGTCCAACCCCAAATTACAAGTCTTGTGTGTGTGCAGATATATATATATATATATATATATATATATATGTTGGACTTGGGAAAAAAATATTGCTATCAGTCCTCCTTATTTTGTTTTATTTTGTTTGGATCGGTTTTTGTGTGTACGCGCTTTCTTTTTTTTCAGTTGCCTTTTCAATATTTAGTTTTTATCTTCTTTTTTTTTTGGTTTCTCAGACTTAAAATCATAGTATTATTTTAGTAAGGACTCTAGGCATTTGCCTCCTCCTTCATTGTACCAAAAAAAAAATTATTATGTTATATATTTAAAATACAACTTTTTTACTTTTTTATTCTTTAAAGAATTACTGAAAACACCATTCCAAACGCTTTTGTTGATGGTTGGTTCTACTACTCATGCAGAAATCAAATCTTACGAATTGTCAAACGTCCATTTTTTCCATGACGACCCTAAGTTTCTACAAACCATTTTCTACCTTTCCTACCTTCTGCAAAAAAGATTTTCCCCAATTCCGTGTTCAATTACATCCTTACTTAACAGATAAATTAATTGATGTATGAACAAATCATACGTATGCAGTTGCATAATCTTTTACATTTACTCATACGATTAGTCAATTAGATTTTGCCTATAAATTCCCACGCAATACCTCCAATCCATATAAAAAACCCGAACCTAAAATTTCTACTATCTAACCGTTGCATAATAAACTGATTTTTTTTTTTCCAAATTCGTAGAAATGGCGGCAAAACAGGAAACTGTTGAACCCAAAATCCCAGAAATATTGTTGAATTCAGGCCACAAAATGCCAGTGATAGGGTTTGGATGTGCAGCCAATAGTATTCCTCCCTTAGATGAAATGATTTCAATTTTGCTCAAAGCTATGGAGATCGGTTACAGGCATTTTGACACAGCATCTCTTTACGGATCGGAAGAGGCCCTGGGCAAAGCCGTAGCTAAGGCTTTGGAAATTGGTTTGATAAAGAATAGAGATGAATTATTCATCACTTCTAAGCTCTGGATTACACACACTCATCCTGACCTTGTTCTTCCAGCTCTCAAGCAAACTCTCAAGTAAAGTTTTTAATCATTTACCCAAAAAAAAAAAAGTTTTTAATCCATCTCTCGGAAATTTATTCTTTGAATTTTGCCTGTCAAAAAAGAAATGTTACGGTCTTGTTTGTCCAACACTTATTTTGCCTTTTTGTTTCACTTTATCTCTTAAAACACCTCTTATACACAAATCCAATAATATCCAAATAACTTTTTAATTTATCTTTTAAAAAATATTTCAAAACATATTTTTACACAATTTTTGTCCACCGTCACCGAACCACCTCCACCTCCACCGCCACCCCGGAATCCTGCCAGACGGTCACCAGCCGGCGGCGATCTGGCGGTAGCGGTGGGCAGTCCGGCGGCGGTGCCGATGGTGGAGGTGGTCCGGTGGTGATCTAAAAATATTATTATTTTATTTAAAATAATTACCCAAACAACTTTTTATATTTTATCTCAAACTACATTTTAAATCACATCTCAAACCCAAATCAAAAATTAATACAACTTGTTGGCCAAACAAACCCTTAAATATTTTCACAGAGAAATTTGTAAAATCCTGATTCCACCACTTATTAAGATGGAAGTTGTGTTTTTATGGATTGTCTTGTTCTGTGTTTTCATTGTTCAGTTTCACTGAGCTAATAATCCTAGAGTTCAATTTGTCACATTTTTATCTTCCAATTTTACTTTTGTTAGGACTATGGGACTAGAGTATTTGGACCTTTACCTTATTCACTGGCCTTTGAGGATTAAGGAAGGCGCTGATCCTGTCAAACTTGAAGAGGGTGACGCTCTGCCATTCGACATGATTGGTACTTGGAAAGCTATGGAAGAGTGCTCCAAATTGGGTTTGACAAAATCTATTGGTTTGAGCAATTTTTCTTGTGAAAAAATCTCTAAACTCCTAGAGAATCCACCATCCCACCTGCAGTTAATCAGGTAGATTACTTCTGTGTCAGAAAAAAAGTAATCTATATTAAGTTTAGATATTTATATTGAATATCTCTAAATTCAACGTGATTTTTTTTTTTTTAATTTTGGATGCAGGAATAAAAATATTGATTCATGAGATTATTTTTTATGATTGTTAATGCGACAACATAATTAAACATTGGTAAATTATTATTATTGTTTTTCTCTAGGTCGAAATGAATGTTAACTGGCAGCAGCGAAAATTAGTACCATTTTGCAAGGCGAAAGGAATACATGTATGTGCATGGTCTCCTCTTGGAGCTTCTGGTACTATATGGGGCTCCAATGCCGTCTTAGAGAATCAAGTTCTCAAAGATATTGCAGCTTCTAGAAACAAGACCATTGCTCAGGTTAATTAATTAACTCACCTTAATATATTGTTCTTAATGAGGTTTTTTTTTTTTTGTGGTAGTAAGTATTATTATCCTACAATGCATATTCATATGAGAATTAATGAACAATTCAGAAGTATATAGCTCCTAAAAAAATTGTTGATTTAATATATCAGGTGGCACTAAGATGGATTTATGAGAAAGGAGTAACCCTAATCGTGAAGAGTTTTAATGAGGAAAGGATGAAGCAAAACCTCCAAATATTCTACTGGGAACTCAGCAAGGAAGAAAAAGATCAAATTTTGTGTATCCCTCAGCATCGAGGACCAGTTGGTAGAGGAGATCTTTTCATTGTGAAAAACGGGCCAATTAAATCGGTTGAAGAATTGTGGGATGGAGACATATGAAGTATTTGCGACGAAATAAGTACTTCGAAGAAGAATGCAATAAGAAGACGTAGAAGTAGTGTTTGTCCAGAAAAAATAAAAAAAATTATTGTTGTTAGAATAATGTAATGCAAATCGAGAGATTTGTCTCTAGATAGAGATTGCCTTGAAAGAATTATATTTATGTTTATTTGCTATGTTTTGCTCATGGGGAAATCACGAAACTGAAACTTGGTTGGGCCGTCAAGAATGATCAGGATAAGCTGAAAGAAAAGAAAGTACACGTCGCCAATTAGCATTCGAACGATCAAGTTAATTAGTAAATGAGAGAAATATATCAAACCATCAAGTTTTCTTTTTATACGTAAAAAATGAAAAAAAAAAGAAAAGAAAAAAAAAAGAGTGAAAATTGTTGATTGGTAAAGGCACAATTGGGGCTTTCTTTTGTTATAGGAATCAGATGAAACCTAATATTCTATTACAAATTACATAATCCCTCTGATCTTAACTATATAAGAGCAATTTGAATTAATTTTAATCATAATTTATATCTTATAATTAAGACCAGAGAGAATAGTTTATGCAGTAAATAGATTTGTTAGAATAAAAATTTGAAAAGGAAAACTGAATGATTCTTTCATATAGTATTGAGCCTGATCTAAAATTACGTTACCTTTCATCGTATGTGGCGGCTTAAATGTGTAGAAAAAGTCCATCGCGTGCGTTTCCTAGCTACTACGAACCACTTCTAACAAGTTTTCATCAACAAAAAATGTATACCCTTCATTTGGTTATTAAATATTAAACCAAAAAACTTGTTTTTTTTTTAAAGATTTAATTTCATTATTAGAGAAAAACAATTACGTACAGATTGTCCAAAAAAGTCCGAAAGAAATCACAAATACAACAAAATATGAAAGAAAAAATTATCATACATGTCATTTTCTACTGACAACCAATGGACTAAGATGTAGTCTATTACACCACAAAATGACCTTGGGGGAGTTTGAGATCCTTTCTACCGAAACAAATCTAAAATTCAAATGAAAAACAAAAATATACTCTTTTAGATCTTAATTTTAAGTCATAAATTAACATTAAATATAATTTAAACTTTTAGTACATAGTAAATAGGATTGGATAGAATATTAACGATGGAGAAACTATGTATATTTGGTCGCAACATTTTCAAAAGCTAGCTAGTAAATTAGTCAATTCGAGTCACCATCAACGCTATCCGACTTTGACGACTCAAAAGCAATACCATTCCAAGTTCCAACAACAATGGACAAGTTAACTTCATCAATTCGTCTTCTTCCTTTTTTTTTTAAGAAAAAAAATTTGTCACACCCCAAATTGTAAAATTTATGCATGCTAGACTTGGAAAAAAGATCGCAATCAGTCCTTGAAGCAGGCGACTACATTCCTTCAGTCATTAAAATCGACAATTTTGTTTGGATCGTCTTTCATAGTGTGCGTTTTTTCTATTTTTCAACATTTAATTATCTTTTTTGCCTTTGTACATTTAAAAAAAAAATTCTATTCTATACATTAATTAGACAACTTTTTTACATTTGTTCTAAAAAGAATTATATGGGGAGATAGAAAAAAAAAACACATTTCAAACGCCTTTTCTGATGGTTCTATTTCTGAGGTAGACATCAAATCGTACGAATTGTCAAAAACGTCCACTTTGTCCATAACGACCACAACATTTAAGAAAGTACACTTTCTACAATTAGGAAAACTTTGCCACATGCCGGGTAAAGATTTTACCCATTTACGTGTTCAATTACATCTTTGCATGAAAGATTAAGGTAATCAATCAATGATCAAATCACATAGCTATGCAATTACATCATCTCTTTACTTTTCTCATTCGATTAGTCAATAAGATTTTGCCTATAAAGTATTACAAATCCCATGCAATATCTCCCATTCATTATCGCAAACTTCGAACCTAAAATTTCTATCTTATAATTTCTCTAGTTACTTACTATCAAACGATCATATTTTAAGCAGGAAATAATTTTTTGCAATTTCGTAGGAATGGCAGCGAAACAGAAATTTTTTGAACCCAAAATCCCAGAAATATTGTTGAATTCAGGGCACAAAATGCCAATGATAGGGTTTGGATGTGCAGCCAGCAATATGCCTCCGTTAGAGGAATTGATATCGATTTTGCTTAAGGCCATGGAGATTGGTTACAGGCACTTTGACACAGCATCAGCCTATGGATCAGAAGAGGCCCTGGGAAAAGCCGTGGCAAAAGCATTGGAAATGGGGTTGATAAAGAATAGAGATGAATTGTTCATCACTTCTAAACTTTGGATTACACAAAATCATCCTGATCTCGTTCTTCCAGCTCTCAAGCAAACTCTCGAGTAAGTAAATTAAAGTTTCTAATCCATTTCTCAGAAATTTCCTCTCCTCTCCTTTTTTTTTTAATTTCAATTATCATGTCCATCAATCAGTTGTCAGCCATTAAAAAATATTCATTTTTTAAATTTTGGGACAGAGGGAGTAGTAAATATTTACACACTGAAATTTATGAAATCCTATTTCTACCACGAATCATCTGAAATGTTATTATGTTATTATTAAAAAAAAAAACAAAATCTTCATTTTCGTGAGTTTAATCATCAAGGAATTACTGGATCATATCAACGACATTTATCTTTGATTTTACTCCCGTCAGGACAATGGGACTAGAATATTTGGACCTTTACCTTATTCACTCGCCAGTGAGGATTAAGGAAGGGGTTGATCCTTTCAAACTTGGAGAAGGTGATGTTCTGCCCTTCGACATGATTGGTACGTGGAAAGTCATGGAAGATTGCTTCAAATTGGGTTTGACAAAATCTATTGGTGTGAGCAACTTTTCTTCTGGAAAAATCTCAAAACTTCTGGATAGCTCAACCATCCCACCCGCGGTCAATCAGGTATATACCATATAAATTTACGGTTCATAGGATTATCTTTTTATGATTGTTAATGCGACGTCAATATTGACCTAATAATTAACCTTTATTAAACTATTAGTATCATTGTTTTTCTTAGGTGGAAATGAATGTGAATTGGCAGCTGCGAAAGTTAGTACCATTTTGCAAGGCGAAAGGATTACATGTATGTGCATGGTCTCCACTTGGAGCTTCGGGTACTTCATGGGGCTCCAATTCTGTCATGGAGAATCAAATTCTCAAAGATATTGCAACTTCTAGAAACAAGACCATTGCTCAGGTTAATTATCTGATTAATAACTCATTTAAATTTATTTCTAGTAGAGTTCTTTTTGGTTTTTTCTTTTTTTTTTTTTCTGGGTACTTGTATATGAGAATAATTTGGATGCATATATATAGTTCCTAACATAAATTGTTGCTGCAATATATCGATCAGGTGGCACTAAGATGGGTATATGAGCAAGGAGTAACCCCAATCGTGAAGAGTTTTAACGAGGAAAGAATGAAACAAAACCTCCAAATATTTGATTGGGAACTCAACAAAGAAGAAGAAGATCAAATTTTGTGGATCCCTCAGCATAGAGGACCAGTTGGTAGAGGAGATCTTTTCATTGTGAAAAATGGGCCAATTAAATCGGTTGAAGAGTTTTGGGATGGAGACATGTGAAGCATTTGCAATGAAAAAAGTACTTCGAAGAATTATCCAATGAGACGTATGAGTATAGTTTGTCTAGGAAAAAATCTAATATTATTTTGAGAATAATGTAATGCAAATCGAGAGATCTTGTTACTAGGTAGAGATTGCCTCGAAAGAATAATGTTCATTTGTTATGTTTTGCTTATGGGTATAGGGGGCTTTCTTTTTTGATATTTCAAGAAATCAGATGAAACCCGAAATTCTATCAGTTGAAACAACCTATTCCTCCGTCTTCAAATTATTATCTTGTTTGAGATTTCATTTTTAGTAAAATTTCAAAACAAAAAAAAAAAAATCAAACTGGGTAGTAACTTTATTTTTAGGATAGAAGGAGTACATAACTTCCGCAAAACTCTCAAACTGGACAATGGTTTATTTTAATTTTTTGTTTAGTTTTTGGTTTGAGTTTGAGATGTGATTCAAAATGTACTTTGAGAATAAATGTAAAAAATTATTTGGGTAATAATTTAAATAAAATAATAATATTTTTACACCACTACTGGAACACCTCCACCACCGGCGCCACCGCCAGACCACCCACTGCCGTCCCCAGACCGCCGCTGTCTGACGACCGGCCGGCCGGAATCCGGCCAACTCGCCAGAATCCGGTTGGTCGGTGGTCGAGGTGGTCCGATGGTGGTGGACGAAAATTGTGTAAAAATAATATTTGAAATATTTTTTAAAAGATAAGTTAAAATATTATTTGAATTATATGTTGGGTTTTGTGTTTAACAAAGAAAATGGGACAAAAAAGTAAAATGAGAAGTTGTCCATACAAGCCCATAATAACTTATAAAATTTTGTAAGGACCAAGCTAGGAAACAATCTAATTGTTTCTTTAAGTGAATTGCTATATGCAACTTAATTTTACTTGGCGCAGTTTGTCAAAAAAATTAAAATATCTCTAAATTCTAAACTCTCTCAGATTTCTTCATACACTCATCTCTCTGTTTATAACTTCTCACAAATTGCTTTAGATAGTAAAAAATGGTTGGTGATAGTTTACCGTGGCTGAAAACTAAAGAACACTGGAAACGGGAGAAAATGAGGCATCGTTTCTTAGCAGGTAATTTCTACGCAAAATTTTTAATTTCACGATGCAATCGCCATTGTCGTTTTCTAGTCTTTTCTTTTTTATCATCATTTTTACTTTGAGAAATGGGTGGCCGTGTTTTTTATGTTTTGGTGTGATCTTTTTTCTTTTGGTGTTATCCCCCGAGTGATCGGTGATTGTTTGTTTTTTTTTTGGTGTGATTGGGAGCCATCGATGATCGCGGATGACAAGTCAGTTGGTTTCGGAACTGCACATCCCTCCCACCTCATCGTGGATTCTATCCCCGTCGTTTAAAAAATTTGTGGTAGACTCCAATTTTTATTAGCTGATTCATGAAGCAAATGATACATGTAGAATAAAAAAAAATTACATGAATGAACTGACATTGCACGAAAAAAAAAAAAAAAAATTGTGATAAACGAAGCTTGATTTCATTTTAAGCAACTTGATTTTACTTTCTGTAAATTGATTTGAGTTCAAGGGTATTGTAGTCTTTTTAACAAGTTGCATGAAGTTTTTAGATTAATTTTTAATTTTTAATTTTTTTCATAGTTCAATAATAACTCAATGTTTACTGAATATTACATAATTTAATGATGTTTGGTGAATATTTTATTACTTCAAAATTTTTAGATTCTTCATTTTTAAAAAATAGTCGGCACCTATTAATTTTTTTTCAAGTTTTTAATTTGATCATGTTTATTATTGTTAAAGTCCATTAATATTTGTTAACATTTAACAAGTTCAACCATTCATTTTCCTACAGAATACATTTTACACTTTATGTATATATCTTGTGTAACGCACAAGGTAAACACTAACATTAGATCATAAAATAGGATTTTATTGCCACTCCCAATGGAGACACTGTAGAGAATTGAGTGAAATTCCCTGGTCGAATATGCATCCCCATGGGTAGAACATAGAATAATTTGTTTGTCGGCAGAAAATAATAAACAAAAGAAATACCATTTGATCGAAGAAACGAGGATAGGAGAACCAAAAGTAGGAAAAGCGTTCCACATAAACAAAAGTAATACTATCATTTTTTTATATTATATACTAATTCCTTTCATTCTATTACGAGATGTTGTTTCGCATAAACTGAGGTGAAAAACTTTCATAAATTATATTTCCTCGGCTCTAATAACTGGAAAAGATAAAATTTAAATTGAACAATCCTATATATTAAGAGAATAAGTTTTTAGAACACATGTCACATAATAAGATGTCCAATAAAACCTTCATAAAAATTAAACTCAATTAGATATGGTAAATTTTTATTGTAACAACTTAATTTTACTTATTTACGCATACACCTGATTATTTAACTAGGTAAAAAAATAAAATAGCCCTTTCACTTAATTACATATATGTCTCTACCGTTAATGCAAATAAACATGGATAAAATTTCAGTTTCACAATTGTCATATCCTTAACTATTTTAGATATGAATTGATTATCCCATTTCAAATACCATTTTAAAAAAATCTTATGACCCATAATTCCGTTCAGATTCAAACTACAATTAATGTACCAAAATTTCAAAATCAATTTCTCATACTTACTAAATCATAAAATGGAAATCAAAATAATTAATTATTATTGGAAGCAAAGATTAGGCGTGACTCATGCGACTTATGTGATTCAGGAATTTACGCAACGTAAACGACGCCCAAGTCCCAGGCCAATCTTTCTAAAAATTATTTCATGATTACTATTTTTTGGATAATTATTAAATTTTCTCATTCTTACTAAATCAAAAATTTGGACATTCTTACTATATCAAAAATTAAAATCAAATTAAATCTTTATTAATATAATCTAAGCGCGTCAATCATGGCATACAAATTTCACGGTTTGACCACATAAATATTCCCCCCTAATCCGAAAAAAAATAGTGCATTATCCAAATAAAAAAAAATTACGGAACTTTCATTACCTATAAATATTTAGCATATGATTTGAATCAAAACACACACCAAAATACACTCACATCCGTATTGGTTTTGTATATCATGTCTTCCAAATTTAATTTTCTCAACGAGCTCAATAATAGCCGAGGAGTTGGATGGAATGTCCGAGTTCGTCTTCTACGCGTGTGGACAAAGATGGATTTCAATGATGATAATGAAATCTCCAAGATTGAGAGTGTCTTAATCGATGAAAAGGTAAATTGCACCTATTATTAAAAAATATTATATATATATATATATATTCCTATATACACACCTATCATTGTGATTATTTGATTACTAAAATTTTATTTTCTTTGTTTTATTATTATTTCGCAGGGCAATAAGGCCTTTGCTTAAATTAAAAAAGACCTAATATACAAGTTTCAAGATCCCATGAAGGAGGGAAAGTACAAACAAATAAGTCATTTTGGTACGGCTACTGACAAAGAGCTTCAAAGATATAGTGATAACAAATACAAAATAATATTCAAACGCAGTACCAAGATTGCGACAATTCTCGAGTTTGTGGATCGTCCTTATATTGGTGAATATGGTTTTCAGTTCCCGAAATTTGCTGATATCATAAACAAAAGGGTGAATGAATCTTTACTGATAGGTACATTGTCTTTTCTACATTGTATATGACTCCACAAGTATTACTAAATATTTAGACAAATTAATCCAATAATTCTCCTTTTTCCAGATATCATAGGTGAAATAGTGACTGTAGGCAAAAGGTAAAAAAATTCATCTAAAGATTATTAAAAAAAATTCACTCAAGTATATTGAAATATTTTCACATCCTGAGCAACGCACGGGTCCACCACTAGTAATTTTAAAGGGAGAGAATACTTAACATTAGTAACGAAATTGAGGAAGAGGAATGTTAAGAGACAGATTTAAACCATGCACTCTTGCTGCCCACTGGACTAATACCAATTTGATTATTAATGATACAAAAATTGTTGAAAGAAACTAATCAATTATAATCCGCAGCTAGGGCCGACATTTGGTAGAGATACTTTAAAATTTTTTCAATCTGAAGTTATATTATTATTTAATTTTCGCACATGTTCTACAAAAATTATACACAACTTTCATAATAAAAAAGATTTATTAGTTGTCTTTATAAATTTCCTACTTTTTTTAAAGAAAAGGATTCCTCTTTATATGAAATTTCGGACTCCAAGACACGGAAAGAGATAAAATTACTGTTTCAAAGTCTCATAATTATTGTCCAGTTTAGGTTTTCATTTTTAGTTTAAATTATACTAAAAGTGAAATCTTAAACTAGACAATAATTTAGAACAAATGGAGCAATTTGTTGCGTCCATTGCTTCAACCAAAACGTCCAAATTCTTTTGGGATATAAGAATCTTCCAAAACGTGAAATTATCGCAATATTATCATATAGGAGTAATAAACCTGTGATACCTTGCACAAGCTAGCATGTCAGGCATGCAGGAACCTTCAATCTCCCATCGGCCACCAAAGGAGCTAGTACCCTGTATATAAAAAGCTCAGTTAGCCTGGTATACTAAAGACTTGGGTTAATAATTTTGGATACATCGAGTATGAATATCTAAATAATTATTAGAACAAACCAAATATTTATTAGGCCAGACCTGACAGTTGTGGCATTACAAAACTCGTCAAAGTTGATTCAACTTGGTCTAAATTTTTATTTTCATTCATTTTGGCTTTTTGTTAATGGTGATTGAGTTGGAAAGCTCCATATTCCATCCATGAAGCATCCATAAATCCAAAACCTCCAAACTTTCGCGTGCGGATTTGCATTATGTTATCAATGTTAAAATCAATACCGTCAAATGGATAAACTTTTATTGTTTTTAGTCTCTTTATATAAATATATATATATATCTTTGAGGTTTAAGTTCAAACATTAAAGCTTAGCTGGATTCGATTTTGCCTATATATAGTGTTCTTCAACACAACATTCCTCCAACCAAATCACAAACAAGTCAATCGATTTTCTCTTCATCAAAATTATTACAATGAGATCATTTGCTTCTGCATTTGCTTTCTCTGTTTTCTTCTGCCTGATCTCCTCCTCCATTGCCCAAACTATCTCTTTTAGGCCAAAGGCTCTAGTTCTCCCTGTGACTAAAGACTCAAAAACTGGCCAATACATCACCCAAATCAGCCAAAGAACCCCTCTTGTTCCTGTCAAACTAACAGTGGATCTTGGTGGCCAATTCTTGTGGGTAGATTGTAAAAAGGGCTATGTTAGTTCATCGTATAAACCCGCGATTTGCGGCTCGGCCCAGTGTTCACTGGCCAACTCTAAATCTTGTGGTGATTGCAACAATGGTCCTAAAATAAATTGCAACAATAACACATGTAGACAGTATCCGTGCAACAGTATAATTCAAGTTTGCACCATTGGAGAGATTACAGAAGATGTTCTGTCTTTGCAATCAACTGATGGATCAAATCCAGGGCCTATTGTGGTAGCACCCAAAATTTTGTTCCCTTGTGGAGATACAAAGTCACTTCTAGGTCTTGCTAAAGGAGTGAAAGGAATGGCTGGATTAGGAAGAGGAGAAGCTGGTCTTCCATCACAGTTAGCCAGTTCATTCAGATTTTCCAGGAGATTTGCTGTCTGTTTAGGCTCAACTGGTGTTATATTCTTTGGTGACAGCCCATCTTATAATTTCCTTCCTGGTAGAGACATTTCTAAGTCTTTGAGTTACACTCCACTTCTCATCAATCCTGTCAACATTAATCCCATTTATTTTAAGGGGGAGCCTTCTGCGGAGTACTATGTTCGGGTGACATCCATCAGAGTGAACGAAAAACCCGTGTCAATAAATTCGACATTGTTGAGTATCAATGATGATGGGAATGGTGGAACAAAGATCAGCACTGTTGTTCCTTACACTGTCATGGAGACTTCCATCTACAACGCTTTGACTAATGCTTTTTCTCAGGCGTTTTCGGGTGTTCCTAGAGTGAAACCGGGGGCGCCTTTCGGGCTGTGCTTCAACTCAAGCAATGTAGGTAGTACAAGAGTTGGTCCTGCTGCTCCAATCATTGATTTTGTGTTCCAGAGTCCAACTGTTATGTGGAGGATTTTCGGTTCAAATTCTTTGGTGAGAGTGAAGGAGGATGTTTTGTGCTTTGGATTTGTGGATGGAGGTGACATTCGAAGGACATCAATTGAGATCGGAACTCATCAGATTGAAAACAATCTTTTGGAATTTGATATTGCAAGATCCAGGCTTGGTTTCAGCTCAACACTATTGTTCCAGCAAACTACATGTTCCAACTTCAACTTCACATCAAATGCTTGAAAGATTAGGCCTTTTCTCTAAATAACATTTCCAGCACACTCAGTCTTTTTCATTACCATTTAAATGCACTCTTTTTACGTTGGATTACTTTTGCAATAAGTTCAATATAAGAACAAACAATATTGTCCTAGAATGTAGTAAGTTGAAGTTGGATTCAACAGAAGTTATTGTAATAATGTAATCATTTGACTTAATTGAAGTGTTTTCCTTTTTTTGATTAGAAGAGTAATGAGAAAAAGGCCACTACCTTTTTCCTTCTAGCATCCAGATGATGGATTTTAAAGGGATGAACGCCGGCAAGATTTAATCTTGCGACCAGCCGATTTGTTTCCGGTCTTTTCCACCTTCTGTTCGACCCATTCCGATCGGGTCTTTCCCGTATTATTCACCTTTTGGACGAATCTAAATACGTCTTCAGCTTCCTGGGAGTTGGTATCCATTGATTTAAAGTTTGTCCTGAAGGGTTCACGTTCCTGGAGATGATCTTTTCCACCATCTCCCTTTCCGGTACTCACCGATTTCAGAGAAGGGTCGATGTTGGAATATTGTTCTCCACCTTCTTCCGGCGAAATTTTCAGGGGTTCAAGCAACAACTCCAATTGAAAGTAACTATGATTCCTACGCGAAAAAACAACGCGAATGATTGTGGACTAATATGTGATGAGATTTGGGAGAGTTTGATTTTCAAAAGGACTTTTTAATATGTGTTGGAAACAGTTGAAGCTATGTGTTATTGACAAATTAAAAATACACTTTGATGTGTAACATGTCACAAAATGAAAAAAAAAAAAAAAACACACACACACACACATAATATTCTTTCCGTCCCAAAATTATTGTCTAAACAAAAGAATTGGACAATAATTTTGAGTTCGAGGGAGTATTACTTTTTTTTTACCAAGAGTAAGAATAATTTCGCAATTTTTGGTTTAGTTATTGTTTTGACTTTGAGATGTGATTTAAAAGGTGGTTTGAGATAAAATTTAAAAAATTGTTTGGATAGTTACTCTAAATAAAATAATAATATTTTTATACCACCACCGGACCACCTCCATCACCGGCGCCATCGCCGGACCGCCAATTGCAGCCGCTGGACCGCCGCCAGCCAGCCATCGGCTAGCCGGTCGCCGCCAGTCTAGTGGTTGTGGATAAAAATTGTGTAAAAATAATATTTGAAATAAATTTTAAAAAGTAAATTAAAAATTTGTTTAGATAGTATTGGATTTTGTGTTTGAGAGGTGTTTTAAGAAGTAAAATGAGATAAAAGGTAAACCAAAAGGTTGGCCGAACAAGAGAGTTACTATGACGTGTGGTATATATTACGTGTTGAGTGACGTTTCAACGTTTGTGGCGGCTAAAATGAGTAGAAAAAGTCCAATGAGTGCGTTTCCTAGGTACTACGTACACTTTTTCCAAGTGTTCATCATAAAAAAAAAAAAAAAAAAGTAGACCCATAAGTTAGAAATTATCACAAAATATAATTCAAATTTGTCCTTTATAAATCGGATTGGATAGAGTAGAAACCATAGAGAAAATATCGCAACTTTTTTCAAAAAACGAGTGGAGTAGTCAATTGGAGTCTCCATCAACTAAACTCCTTTCCAACAACAGTGGACAAGTTTAATAAATTCATCACGTCGTTTTCTTTGACGAATTATTATTAATTACATATAACAACGTCCCGAAATATAATAGAATCACCAATAGATACTAAGCAATCATAAAGTTCTTTCAAACGATCTAAGAAAACAGCCATGGAGAGATCACCTTTCTCTAAATGGTAGAACTCCTGGTGAAGGTGAACAATTCGAGACTCGACATGATCTCAGAAGACCTTCTCAATTTTCTGCCAAGCATCTAAGGTTGTGAGCGACGTCCTCGGAGTGATAATACTTTATAAAATTTCACGAGAAAGAGTTGCTTGTATTCAGGAGAGAACAAGAACATCAATCTGATTCCAAAGAGCATATTCCGGATCAGTTGCGGGGGGAGAAGGAGTCAAACCGTCGACATGGCCATAAACCTGATGACCCTTGAGAACTGGAATGAAGAGCTCGCGCCAGATCAAGTAGTTGGTGTAGTCCAAGACTTCATAAACGTGATTCTTTATGTTGTTTAAAGAGAAAGCAGGGTAATTAGAAAGAGCAGCAGTAGAATTAGCACCAGCAACAGAGACACGGGAAGACGATGGGGTCTTTGGATCGTCGATCACATCATCTTCAGGATTCGCCATAGCAGCGACGCTGAAAGCAACGTACAGAAAGTAGAATCAACAAACCAACAATTACACCAGTAACAAAAGGGCGGCACAAACAGCAATGAGGATTAGAAAGCACCAAGCCTTGGACAACAACTTAACAAGCAGCAGCCGAACAAACAAACAATCAACAGTCTGCAAACAACAACAAGAACAAGAAGAAACGAGAGGCAGCCGCAGCCAAAACCAAATCAATAAATTATAACCAGCAGCAGCGAAGATGGAAGAAGACAGCAGCGGTGTTGGCAGAGTCGCGTTAGCAACGGACTGGAGCAGCAAAACGCTGAGCCTCTTGGATGTTAAGAAGAACCAGCAGCAGTGGAAGAGTGGACGACAATATTAACGGCAAGAAACAATGGCGGCAATCAAAGAAAGAGGGCGCCTCGCCTTGCAGCCGTGAGCAACACCAACGACAAACGACAGCAGCTGCAGAAGAGCAACAAATCAGAAGCAGCAGCGGTGAGCAGAGGAATTATTTGAAAACCAGGATGAATTGCAGTCAGCAACTACATCAATGGCGACAGAGGCTGTCGGCTTTCAGGATCACGCGAAATCAATTATTGATCTGCTGCAAAGAGGATCACAGAACTTACGTGTTGTGGCTATAGTGGGTATGCCGGGATTAGGCAAAACCACCTTGGCTGAAAAGGTTTACAGAGATCCCTGTCTCCTGCCATTTTCAGGCCCGCGCCTTGACGGTTGTGTCGCAAACAGTGGACAAAAGAAGAGTGCTCCAAGACCTTCTTTCTCAAATTGATCCTGAGAAATTTTCTACGGCAGTCACTTACGATAAGAAAGAGCACGGTTTAGCAGATTTGTTGCGGAAAAGTTTGAAGGGACGGAGGTACATCATTGTTTTGGATGATGTATGGGACATTGAAGCATGGCAGGGCTTGCAAGAATCATTCCCTGATGATTCTAAGGGAAGCAGAATAATGCTGACAAGCCGTTGTCACAATGTTACTCCTCCAAGTATCCTCGACGCTTATGAACTCGCACCCCTCAACGAAGAAGAGAGCCTGGATTTGATACAGAGGAAATTGTTTGATGGAAAAGGTTGGCCCCCTAAATCAGATGATATCCAGAAGCAAATGCATCAAGTTTGCGCTGGTTTACCCCTTACAATCATTCTTCTTGTTGGTGTTTTGAAATCTGTACAGCAAGCCTATTGGAAGGGAATTCTCGAAAACTTAGGCTCTAGCAAGTTATCCGAACGTTGCAAGGACACACTGGAACTGAGTTACAGACATCTACCAGAGCATTTAAAGCCGTGCCTTCTCTATTTCGCGGCATTTCCCGAAGATGAAGATGTCTCAGTCAAGAGGTTGCTTTGATTATGGATGGCCGAAGGATTTGTGAGGGAAGCTGGGATCATGAAACACCAATCTGATGTGGCTGAAAAGTATCTAAATGATTTGATCGGCAGAAGTTTGATCATGGCTACCTTTTAAAAAAACCTTGGGCGGAGTGAAAACATGCCGCATAACTCCAGGATTAGGATCATAACCGAAAATGGTATCGTTGAGATGGTTGATAAGCTTTTCCAGTGACTGAATTCCGGTGAGAAGTACTTGCTTCTGTTGGCAGTGGAGAATCACAACTTCAAGTGTACAGGTACGTTGTAAATATGAAACAAACAGACCAGGGAATTCTTGTTTCGCAAAATCGATAAGGATGGAAATAGCGCATTACATCTTGCTTGAACACTTGAAGAACAAGGGAAAGCTTGACTCATCCAACTCTCCAAATGCAATGGGAAATCAATTGATTAAAAGTAAGATCAACAGCTTGTTCAAAAGATCTAATGTCTATTGGCTTCTGTTTGATGGCAGTAACATTTTATGAATGAGACCTTTCAATTTATTTAAGTTTAAAAAGTCATCAAATACTATTAAAGTATCAGTGGCTTGTAAAAGCCATTTAAATCAATCAATCCTATGAAATTACTTTATAAATTTTTTGGCTTTGTTCATCTTAGTTGTTTGGAAGTCGTTTTCTAATCAAGAAAGTCAGCTGGCATTATATCTGTAACTCACACGCAAATGATGATAGCAAGCACTAATAATTAAAGTTTGATGTCCACTTCTGATGAGATTTGGTCATATAAACACTTGTAGAATATGAGATTCCTAGAGGGTACTGAATTTTTAGTGTTGAATCTAAAATGCCAGCATTCCACAGCTTCTTTGCACAAATAAGTTGTTTTGGTTTTGGTTCATCTCAACAGCTTGCCTTCTCTTAATCAATTTGTTTATTTCACCATTTCCTACACCCTTCTCCGTGTTTCTTCCTGCTAAAAATTAATCTTCATTTAATCCCTTTTCCCTCCTGTTCGGGTACAGTAAAAACATTTCCCCTACAACTAAGATGGAAAGCAACCTTATTACTCGTATTCGTTCTGCTTTAGAGACTGTGAATTTGCTGCTGGACACGATGCCTTCTTCCATTGAGGATCCTCGTTCTAACATACTGGCTATAAAAAAGCTGCTGCTCGGGCCTTTCAATGAGGAGACTTTCAGGTCTTTGTCACGTTGCTGGTTTGAGTTATTGAGATTTCGGTTGAGAAAACTGAAGATGTTTGCTCTTTCTGGTTTAAACTTGATGAACCATGCATATCTTGAATCTTTCTTGATAAAGATTGAAGACGCTGTTCCCAGAAATGACGTCTCAAAGCAGACTTTAAAAGATCTGATTGATCGTATTCACGAAGGTGACCCTTTGTATTATCGCATCCGTATGTTTCATTTGGATTATGATGCTTTGGAAAACCAGATACATAAATCTTACCGCACATTCTTTGAGTCCTATCGAGGATCAGGTTCTCTTACAAAAGATGAAGTCCTGGAAATCATCACTTCCTTTCTGGAGAGTTTGGAGCAATATCCGAGATTGAAAGAATCAGATCGCGTCTTTGGCACTATAGAGGATTTACTGGAATCCTCGAAAGTGCATATGACATTCTTGAAAGATCTCATCCTGTTTGCCACACAAAGTAATGTTGAAACCATAAATGATCATTTGTTAGGTCTTGCTGAATTTGTGTCCATTTGCTCCGCGAGTCTCCTTTCTGCCGATACTAAGGAAGTAACAACTGATGATTTTTTATCTCTGTTGGAAATGATCATGCCTATTGATCCTCAAGTCTATAAGACATACACCGATGTTCTCAATAGCTCAAAGGGCACCTGCAGGACGTGGGCGAGAAACTTAGTTCCCGAAGGCCTTATTGCAACAAAGAATCTGCTTCGTTCTCTAGTAGCTATTCTTTGGGAGGCATCGGCAGTGAGTAACATTGTTGTGGTTCCCATGACGGGTCCATTGCTAGAGCTGTATGGAGGACTCAGGTTAATAATGAAGATGATCTTCAAGCTCCAACAACCAAACAAATTTGATCTTTCGAAAATTAAGGAAGACGTTCTTGTTGTGGTATGTGATGCTGGAAATTTCATTTTCTCATTTTACCAGAAACATGTACAATTAGATAATGAAATTCTTCAAAATATGTTGGAAGCAATCAGAATTCTTCTGGTGGAATTTGGGGAGGAAGATTCGCAAGTTCCAAGATTTGATTATCAGGGGACTAATCATCAATTGGCTTTTTTTGACTCTGTAATACAGAAACTGATGCATCTGACAAGTAATGATGTTGAACCTACTGCCAAGAGTTGTGCACAAAGTATCCAAGAAGAACTTGTGTCCATAAGATCCTCCTTGGGAGACATTTTGGAGTTGTGTCACAATCAGGTGGAACTCCAAACTCTATGGAATTGTGTTCTGAGGGTGGCATATAGGGTGGAGGACTTCACCAACTATATCGGCGACTGGCCAAATTATATCCCAACATCAGTAGATTCTATCCTGAAAGACATCACCAGCGTCAAGACAATGATAAAGGCCATCAGAATTCCAGACATTAATCTCAAGAAACAAGAAATCAAAACCAATGAAGTAACACAAAATCAAGATCAAGTGCAGTCAACGACTACCTCTATGGCAACAGAAGTTGTAGGCTTCCATAGCCAGGCAAACTCAATTATTGATCGGCTTGAGAGAGGATCACAAAGTTTACGTGTTGTGGCTATTGTGGGTATGCCGGGAATAGGCAAAACAACTTTGGCAGGAAAAGTTTACAAAGATCCATCTGTCTTGCGCCATTTTCATGTCCTTGCGTGGACTGTTATGTCCCAAAGAGTGGACATAAGAAAAGTGTTCCTTGACCTTTTTGCCCAAATTGATCCTGAAACATGTTCTAAAAAGGTTACTTACAATACAACTGTGGATGATTTAGCACAAATGCTGCGGCGAAGTTTGAAGCAAAGGAGATATCTCATTGTTTTAGATGATATATGGGACCGCGAAGCATGGTGGAGCTTGCAAGAATCATTCCCTGATGATTCTAACGGAAGTAGAATACTCTTAACCAGCCGTTGTAAAGATGTTGCTCCCTCTAGAATGCTTGACGGAAACCCCTATGAACTTGAACCACTCAGTGAAGATGAGAGCTTATATTTGATGCAAAGGAACTTATTTGGTGGAAATGGTTGGTCCCCTGAGTCATATGACCTCCAGAAGCAAATTTTTCACATCTCCAGTGGTCTACCCCTCACAATTATGCTTCTAGTTGGCGTCCTAAAATCCAGTAATCAAGAGGATTGGAAGAACATTCTCAATAGTTTAAGCTCTGGCGAAATGTCAGAACGCTGCAAAGACATATTGGAGCTTAGTTACAGACATTTGCCAGAGCATTTAAAGGCATGCCTGCTCTATTTTGCATCATTTGAAGAAGATGAACATATCTCAGCTAAGAGGTTGACTAATTTATGGACAGCCGAAGGATTTGTTCAAAAAGTTGGGTCGAAGCCCCTATCAGTTGTTGCTGAAGATTATCTGAATGATTTGATTTGCAGAAGTTTACTTATGACCACTCAAAAAAAATCCATGGGTGGGGTGAAAACATGCCGTATCCATGACTTGCTTTACGAATTTTGTTTGCAGAAAACAAAAGAGGAACAGTTTTTCCATTTTGTAGGAGTGAGTTGTGATGAGATGCTGACATTGAATGAGCCGCGCTGCATGCGAAGGTTGTGCATTAACTCTAACGGAAAATGTTTCCTGGAGTCAAAGGTTTGTTATGCTCGTGTTCATTCTCTGCGCTTCAAATATGTTGATAGACATTTTTATCGGCGCAGTATCTCATTCCTGATGCATACCAGCAAGCTTCTACGAGTGTTGGATTTGGAGAACGTTTTTATGAATTGGGTGATTCCAGGTGAAATAGGATTCCTGGTTCATTTGGCCTACTTGGCGATTGGATTCTCCTCGTCTACCATCCCACCCACTTCCATAGGTAACCTCTGTAATTTGCAAACTTTTATTTTGCAGTACTATGATCAATGTGATGGATTCATTCGGATTCCAAACACTTTCTGGAATCTTCAAACATTGAAGCATTTTTATGTAAGGAGGGTTGGCCGCCTTGTTGCTTATGGTAGATTACCTTTGGAAAATCTTGACAGTGCATCTGTTATGTTTGAGTTGGATAAGATTTCTGGTTTGGAAATTCCTCTAGAGAACATGGAAGAAGTGATGAAGAAGTTTCCAAACATCCGTAGGTTGAGATTGACACTCAGGTATGGTGCTGATTTAGGTGGTAATCATCCGAATATCGCAATACCTAACTTCTTGAAAACATTAGAGTCACTTAACATGCGAACGGCTAGACCAATTCCGCATTGTTATAATCTCTATGTTGTTGGTATGTTTAGTTTTCCAGAAAACCTGAAGAAATTGACACTGACAAATTTTGATTTGTCAGAAAGCAGTGTTTCAAGCCTTGGTACTCTGCCAAACCTTGAAGTCCTCTATTTGGTCAATACAGGCTTTGAAGGGGACACATGGAGAATGGAAGAAGGTGGAGAATTTGCGAAACTTAGAATCTTAGGTTTGGATGCGCCGAAGCTTCGCAGGTGGACTGGTTCTGAAGATCAATTTGTGTGTCTTGAGAAGTTGGAAGTGAGATGCGACTGTTTGAAAGAGATGCCTTCTTGTCTAGGCTACATCTCAACGCTTCAGATGATCGAAGTCAAGCATTGTCCAAGTTCTGTAGGAAAGTTGGTGAAAGATATTGAGAAAGTACAGAAAGACTATGGAAATTCAGATTTGAAAATCATCATGAAAGAAGAGTACACCTGGTGAATGTTACTGAAGACAGGACTTCGCTGAGATGTTATACTTAAACAGTCCGAACTCCGAAGTAACTTCAAAAGCTTCATTCTTTACTTCGAGTTTATTTCTCTCAAAGAGATCAATTTTTTTTTTTCAATCAACAAGTTTTGTTTTTTTTTTTTTTTTAAAAGTATCAAGAAGTATGTGAATCCTTGAAGCATATAAGGTCTACTCATTATTTGGAACCTACATAAGATTGTCTAATTAGCCTCACATAAATTTGCCGACATTTTGTTTGGTTTGCAAGATGGTCGCTCAGTTTTTTGGTTCATAACTAAACTTCCATATGGTTTGACTTAAAGAGCTACTTAGATCCGTAAATTTACGATTATTTTGGAACGGAAGGAGCATACATAAATTCTGCAAACGGATACTATCCTACTTGCATCTTCAAGGCAGATTCATGGCCTAAAATAAGTGAGTCGTTCTTCACAACAAATTTATTTTTTTTGAGCTACAAAGTCAGCTCTTGTCCACTGCACTGGCTTCTCCTGATTCCTGATGATAGAGAGTAAACAAGTTAATGATAGGGAAACCCAATGAACAAACATATTTTACCTAACCATTAGGAGGTCCCATTTTAATACATGATCCAACTCCCACCATTCTAGATCGAGTTGACTTGGGCAATTCGTTCAGCACATGGAATCCCACCATTAATTAAGATGGGCTAAGAGAATCCAACGACAATTAATGTTTCTCCATTTTTGTCAATACAGAAATCAATTGCAAAAAGTCAACTGTTATTTTCTTTTTCTTTCTTTTTTTTTTTTGTTTTTTTTGAGAAGGAAGTCAACTATTATTGGAGTTTCAGTTTCTTGAAAGAGCCAGTTAAATAAATGAATGAATCATTGCTGATAGTAGTTGTTTCTGTGATTGGCTTCTTCAATCATGGAACTCACCTTGACATTTTAGGATTGAAGTAATCTATATCTCATGAGTTTGGTCATAATTAAAATTTTGTACTCTTTTTGAGATTCTTACAACAACCACAATAACCAGTTTGTTTTGGGTTCATCTCAACATCAAAAATTGCCTTCTTCTTCAACAACTTCTTCCCTTAAACTGTTTCCCTCGTCCTTTTTATCCCCTGTTTCTACAGACCAGAAAGATGTCCCAAACAACAAATATGGCCTCCACCCTCATCACTTGTATTCATTCCACCTTGCAAACTGTAGATTTTCTGCTGGAGAAGATGCCTCCTTTCTTTGAGAATCGTTCCATGTTTGAGTCACTGAGATTTCGGTTTACACAACTCAAGATGTTTGCACTTTCTGCTACAAAGTTGGCTAATAATGCAAGCAGAGGAGGAGGGATCCGTGGAACAATCGGGCCGATGTTTGAATTTTTATTTCAGAGGTATTTCAATTTTAGATCAAGATTGGAAAATTTTTACTTTAGTTTTTTGCTCAGAAAACAGAACCAACTTTCCCACAGTTTTTTTTTTTTTTTTTCCTTTTTAATAGATTTCTGGGTCCTCCACTGAATGCAAGACTTGAATCCCTTTTGGGAAAGATTGAAGATGCTGTTGGCAGAATTAATGTAACCGAGCTGACATTAGAAAATCTCAACAATCGGTTTCGTGAGGGTAATCCTTTGTATGATTCCATTGCTGAGTTTAATCAAGGATGCACTGCTTTCAGAGAAGAAATGTATGAATTGTATGGAACTCTGTTGAAAACCACCAATCCAGGTTCAAATTCGCTAACAAAAGATGAAGTCCTGGAAATCATCACTTTCTTTCTGGACAGTTTAAAGCAATACATATCTGAAATGAGTTATTGTCCCTTAGAAAATATCGAAGCTTTACTGGAAGCCTCCAAAGTGCAGATGACATTCTTGAAAAATCTCATCCTTTTTGTGACACAGAGAGATGTTGATCCCGCGGAAGCTATCTTCTGGCCTCATGCCGAAATTGTGGCAATCAGGGCTGCTCGTCTCCTTGCTGTCAATACTAGATATGTTCAACAGGCTGATTTTTCATTTGTGAAAATGATCATGCCTGTTGATCCTCAAGTCTATCAGACTTACACCGGCGCCCTGATCAGAAGCTCGAGAAATCGGGTTTCTCCCGTTGATGGAGAGAGAGATGATGATAAATCCCTTATTGCAACCGAGAATCTACTTCGTTCTCTCATATCTATACTCTGGGAGGCATCAGCAGTGAATACGTTTGTCGCGGTTCCTATGACGGGTGAACTGCTAGAGTTGTATGAAGGCCTCAGGTCCCTGATGAAAATGATTCTCAAGCTGAAACAACCAAACAAATCTGATCTGAAAATCAAGGAAGAGATTGTTACTGTGGTATGTGATTCTGGAATCTTTATTTTCTCATTATACCAGAAGAATGTTAAATCAGATATCAGGCTTCTTCCTGATTTGTTGGAAGCAATCAAGAATTTGGTAGGATTAGAGGAGAAAGATCCACAAGTACCAGAATTCAACTATCGAGGCACTACTCAATTGGCCTTTGTCGATTTCTTATTACAAAGGCTGGAGGAGCTCGCAAGTAGAGATGCTGAACAAACTTCTAAAGATTGTGCTAGAAGCGTATGCGAAGAACTTGTCGGCTTAAGATCCTTCTTGGGGGACATTTTGGAGTTGCATTTTAATCAGGTGGAAATCCAAACTCTCCGGGATCGTGTTTTGGAGGTAGCATACAAGGTGGAGGACTTCACTGAATACCTAGAGAGTGGAGACTTTCCGAATTGTTTATCACCAACGTTTGATTCTATCATGAAAGACATTGCTGATATTAAGTCCAGAATCAAAGCCGTCAAGAGACCAAAGACTAAACTCAAGAGACAAGATATCAAAGTGAAGGAAACAGCTTCAGATCATAATAATCAAGTGCAGGCAAAAACTAACTCAATCGCAACTGGAGGTTGTAGGCTTCCACGACCCTGCAAACTCAATCATTAACCGGCTCAAGCGAGGATCTCAAAACGTGCGCATCGTTGCTGTTGTGGGTATGCCGGGTTTAGGGAAAACTACATTGGCTGAAAAAGTTTACACAGATCAATCTGTCTCGCGCCATTTTCAGGTTCGTGCCTGGACTGTCGTGTCCCAAAAAGTGGACAAAAGAAGAGTGTTCCTGGACCTCTTGGCTCAAATTGATCCCAGTAAATGTTCTGAGGCGACTAGTAGTTCTGATGCAACTACACAAGATTTAGCAGAAAAGTTGTGGCGAAGTTTGAAGGGAAAGAGATACCTAATAGTTTTGGATGATGTATGGGATGTCGCAGCATGGCTGAGCTTGGAAGAATCATTCCCAAATGATTCAAAGGGAAGCAGAATAATAATGACTAGTCGTCATCATGATGTTGCTTCTCTTGGTATGCTCGATGAAAGTCCTCATGAACTTAAGCCCCTCAATAAAGATGAGAGCCTTGATTTGATCCAAAGGCAGTTATTTGGTGGAAATGGTTGGCCTGCTGAATTAGTTGATCTTGGAACGCAAATCTATGTCATTTCAGGCGGACTACCTCTCATACTAGTGATCGTAACTGGTATTCTAAAATCCATAATGCCAGGGAATTGGAAGAAGGTTCTGGATGATATAAACCCTGGCAAGTTACAAGAACATTGCATGGAAACACTGGATCTGAGTTACAGACATTTGCCGGATCATTTGAAGCCATGCCTTCTTTATTTTGCGGCATTTCAAGAAGATGAAAATGTCTCAGTCAAGAGTTTGCTTCAGTTATGGATGGCGGAAGGGTTTGTGCGGGAATTTGGGATGAAACGCCCGGCTGATGTTGCTGAAGAGTACCTGAATGATTTAATTAACAGAAGCTTAGTTATTCCTACCCAGCGAAAATCCATTGGTGGAGTCAAAACATGCCGCATCCATGACTTGGTTCACGAATTTTGTTTGCAGAAATCAAAAAGTGAGCAGTTTTTCCATTTCCTAGAAGGAGGGAACGATGCGCTGCTAGCATTTAATGAGCCACGCTACCTACGGAGGTTATGCATTCACTCAAATACAGAACAATTCGTAGAGGCGAAGGTATATTGTTCTCATGTTCGCTCTCTGCGTTTCAAGAATTTTGATGAAGAATGGTTTTTTGGAGATGCCTCATTCATAATGCGTATTAGCAAGTTTCTAAGGGTGTTGGATACAGAGCAAGTTTGTTTATATTGGAAGATTCCAAGTGAAATCGGACTACTTGTTCAGTTGACCTACCTGGCAATTGCATGCTCATCAATCCCACAATCAATTGGTAATCTCTCTAACTTAGAAACTGTCATTCTGAACCCATATAGTTTCCAGTGCATTCTTCTTCCAAACAGCTTCTGGAATCTACAGAAACTGAAGCATTTTTACATAAGAAGCAAAAACTCTGCGTTTAGAGTAATTTTACCGCAGGAAAAGCTTGACAGTTCATCTGATCTATTTGGTCTGGATAAGATTTCTGGTTTGTATATTTCTCCTGAATGCATGGATGGAGTCATGAAAAAACTTCCAAACATTCGTAGGCTGAAATTTAGAATTCCTGATGAGTACGGAACAGGAAATGTTGAGATAGTAGTTCCTAACTTTTTGAGTAAGTTAGAGTCACTTCATATAAGGGTAGATGATCTTCCTAGCGCCATGTTTGAGTTTACTTTGCCAGAGAATCTGAGGAAATTGACATTGGTACGATTTAATTTGTCCAAAAGGTGTCTTTCAAGCCTTGGCACGCTGGCAAACCTGGAAGTCCTCAAGTTAGAGGGCGTCCATTTTGAAGGAAACACATGGAAATTGAAAGAGGGGGGTTTCTCTAAGCTTAGAATTTTGAAATTGCGTTCCAGAAACCTACGCTTGTGGAGTAGTCCTGACGAGGATCAATTGGTTTCTCTTGAGAAGTTGCATTTGTACGACTGCTCAAATTTAGAAGAGATGCCTTCTTGTCTACAAAGCATTGCAATGCTTCAGATTATCGAGGTTATTTACTGTCCGAGGTCTGTAGTAGAGTTGGTGGAAAACATTGAGGAAGCACAGATTGACTATGGAAATTTAGATTTGAAAATCATCACTCGCCGGTCCTGTTGATTTCTTCTGCAGTTCCTTACATTGGAACTGAAAAAAATCAGAATGCTGACTGCAGTTCACAGTGGCTGTTGTTTCTATGTTAATGGCTGTGTGTTTTCTTTTGTTTTGCATACATTCTCGGTTGTATTAATAGCCCAGACATGGTGTTGTCTTATTCTAGTTCTTTACTTTCCTGTATCTTTGAATTAGTTGCAGATTTAGCATTCGTTCTGTATCTTTAGGACATAGGTTTTTAAGCATTTCAATTATGAAAAGAGACTGAGGACAGAACTTGCTGAGATGTGAAACTTAAGAAGTCCTTTGTAACTCAGAAAATTGACTGATGAGAATATGGTTTTCGTTTTTGGCATCGCCAACACTCCTTCACTCCAAGCAATGCCTTTTGTTCCGCAATTCTTTATCTGTTCTTTATCAAGAAATTGATTTTTCTGCAACAAGTTTTTGAATCCTTGAACCATATAAGGTCTAATGATAAAGCAAAACTACAAAAGATAGTCCGACGAGTGTCACATAATTTTGCCATTTTATTTCCATGGGATCATCTTGACCAAAAAAGGGATGATCAAACGTTTCCGGTGCCTAACTGAACACAGTATGCTTTGTTATAAAGAGCTGCACAAACTTGGAAAACAGATGACCAATCTACTTTCATCTCCAAAGCTGTTTCATATTTTCTTGACGCGGAGATTAAAGTAAAGATTCCGACATCCTTAGTTGCAACATGTTTTCTGTCTAAAAGCCAAAAAGCATTTTACTACAATAATGTACGTCTTTGATCTAGAAAGTCATGCTCATTTCCACTGGCTTCTGTTAAGGAAAATAGTTAACATGCATACCAGGGAATTCAAGGAATGATCGATATCTCAAGTTAACTTGAGAAACCTAAGATAATCCAGTAAACAATTTGCTTCATTTGTCCATGGTAATAACGGAAAACCAATTGCGAATCGCTGGTTTCAGTTTCTTAAAAAAATGCCAATTGAAATAAATCCATAGTTGTATGTGAGTCATTTTCTAACTGTAAACTTGCTTCTCTAACACGAAAGTCAGCTGCCATTGGTTGTTCCAACGAATTCTTTTATTCAACCCAGCCCTTTGATTCTTTGGATTATGTTTTGCACTTAAAGTCAGCTCTTTTTTTAAGGTCTTTTCGCAGCTTACTGAATAAGTTACATAAGTGCATTCCCTCCTTTTCAAAATAAGTGTTCTGTTTCTAGTAATCAATCCTGAAATGACGGCATTCTACAGCTGCTATTCAAAGTGCTATGAATCAGTTTGCCTAAAGTCTCACTCCACCATTTGATATTTGTTTGGTTTTTGTTTGGGTCCATAGCATATCAGTTTCCTTCTTCTTCAATCTTCATCATCTTGTTCCTTTCACCATTTCCAACCCTTCTTCTGTTTCTTTGTGTTCAAAAATATTCTGCTTTTTATCCTTTTCTTTCTAGTTTCTACCATTCAGATCAGGTGAAAAGAATCACACAACAAACAAACATGGCGGCCTCCACCCTCGCTACTTGTATTCGTTCTGCATTACATAGTGTAGATTTGTTGCTGGACGTGATGTTTCCTTCCTCTGATCAGGCCCTTCAAACATTTAAGTCCCTGAGATTTCAGTTGAGAAAACTCGAGATGTTTGCTCTTTCTGCTAGAAAGTTGGGGAACCATCCAAGTCTTGAATCTTTCATGGCAAAGATCGAAGATGCCGTTGGCAGAATTAATGTTCCAAACCACAGTTTAGAAGATCTCACGGATCAGTCTCAAATGCTCTCATTTCATAAGGACATTAATTCCTTGGAAGAACAAATACATGAATGGTACAACAATCTCTTGGATGCCGAGCGAGGATCGATTTCTCTGACGAAAAGCGAGATCTTGGAAATAATCAGTTCCTTTCTAGAGAGTTTAGAGCAATATCAGAGCTTTCTGGAATCAGATGCTGCCTTTGAAATTTTAGAAAATTTACTGAAAGCTTGTCAAGTGCAAATTTCATTCTTGAGAAATCTCATCCTGTTGGCCACACAACGAAATGTCGAACCCTCGGAGGCTTTGTTGGTTCATGCTGAAACTATGGCTATCCTAGCTTCTCGTCTCCTTGCCATCAATATTGAGCGAGTAACTGAAAATGATTTCCTATCAGTGTTGGAAACAACAATGCCAACTGATCCTCATGTCTATAAGGCCTACACCGATGCCCTCAGAAGCTCAAAGTGCACGAGAAATCCCCTTCCTACCACTGGTTAAGAAAGGGATATTGATGAATCCCTCATTGCAACAGAGAATCTCCTTCGTTCTCTCTTAGTAATTTTCTGGGAGGCGTTCGCGGTGTATACTTATGTTGTGATCCCTATGCCTGGTCAATTGGTAGAGCTGTATGAAGGACTGAGGTCATTAATGAAAATGATTCTCAAGTTGCGCCAACCAAACAAATTTGATGTGAAAATCAAGGAAGACATACTCACAATGTTATGTGATGCCGGAATCTTCATTTTGTCGTTGTACCAGGAGGATGTTCAATTAGAAACTGAGCTTCTTAAAGATTTGTTGAAAGCAGTCAAGATCATTCTGGTAGAACTTGAGGAGAAAGATCCACTAGTTCCAACTTTTAACTATAGAGGCATTACTCAGTTTGAATTTATTGGCTTTTTATTGCAAAAACTAATGGAGCTTACAAGTAGAGATGCTGAACAAACTGCCAAGAGTTGTGAGCAAACTATAAAAAAAGAAGTTGTTGACATGAGATCTTTCTTGGTGGACATTTTGGAGATGCGCCATAATCAGGTCGAATACCAATCTCTCTGGGATCGTGTTTTGGAGGTGGCATACAAGGTGGAGGACTTCATAGACTACCTAGAGGTTGAAGACTCACCAAATTATGTTTCAACATCATTAGATTCCATCATGAAAGACATTGCATATATCAAGTCAATAATCCAAGTCATCCAGAGACCTGAGATTAAACTCAAAAGGCAAGAAATCGAAGTGGCGGAAGTGAGTGTGAATCACAACACATTGCAGTCCACAAGTATTACCTCAATGGAAAGAGAGGTTGTAGGATTCCAAGACCAGGCAAACTCAATTATTGATCGCCTCAAGAGAGGATCAAACAACTTACGGATCGTGGCTATTGTGGGTATGGCTGGACTAGGCAAAACCACTTTGGCTGGAAAAGTGTACAATGATGATTCTGTCTCGTACAGTATTCCTGTTCGTGCATGGACTGTTGTGTCCCAAACAGTGAACAAAAGAAAAGTGTTCATTGACCTTTTGGCTCAAATTGATCCCAAGAAATGTTCCGAAGAAATTAATTCACTTGCATCAACTCATGATTTAGCGGAACTGCTGTGGCGTAGTTTGAAGGGAAGGAAATATCTCATCGTTTTAGATGATGTATGGGACGTTGCAGCATGGCAAAGCTTGCAAGAATCATTCCCTGATGATTTTAAGGGAAGTAGAGTGATGTTGACCAGCCGCAATCATAATGTTGCTCCTCCCAGTATGCTTGAAGGTTATCCTTATGAAATTCAACCACTGAGTAAAGATGAGAGCCTGGATTTGATGCAAAGACAATTATTCGGCGGAAATGGTTGGCCTACTGAATTATATGATATTGGGAGACACATTTCTGACATTTGCAATGGACTACCTCTTACAATTGTCATTGTAACTGGAATTCTAAAATCCGTAAATACAGGGGATTGGAAGAAAATTCTGCATGATTTAAGCTCAAGCGAGTTATCAGAACGTTGTAAAGACACACTTGAGCTTAGTTATAGACATTTGCCGGAGCATTTAAAGCCTTGTTTTCTCTATTTCGCGGCGTTTCAAGAAGATGAACTGATCCCGGTGAAGAGGTTGGTTCAATTATGGATGGCAGAAGGATTTGTTTGTGAAGCTGAAAATAAGTTGCACGTTGCTGAAATGTATCTGAATGATTTAATTAGCAGAAGCTTACTGATGGCTGCCAAAAAAAAATCCACTGGTGGAGTGAAAGCTTGTCGCATCCATGACTTGCTTCATGAGTTTTGTTTGAAGAAAGCCAAAGATGAACAATTTTTCCATTTCCTAGAAGGAGGCCATGATGAGCTGCTATCATTCAACGAGCCTCGTCACCTACGTAGGTTATGCATTCACTCTACTGCAGACTGTTTCCTGGAGTCAGAAGATATATTGTTCTCATGTTCGTTCTCTGAGTTTCAAGTATCCTGAAAACAGATTATTGTTTAGAGATATCTCATTCATGATGCTTATTAGCAAACTGCTGCGAGTGTTGGATTTGGAGAAAGTTCGTTTAAATTGGAAGATTCCAAGTGAAATCGGACTCCTTGTTCGATTGACCTACCTAGCAATTGGATGCTCTTGCTACGACATCCCACCTTCGATAGGTAACCTCTTTAATTTGGAAACTTTGATTTTGAAGACTTATAGTGGACAAGACATTAACATTCCAGACAGTTTCTGGAATCTAAGGAAATTAAAGCATTTGTATGTAAGAGGTGAATATGCGAGTGGAGGCCTTTTATCTGTAGGAAATCTTGACAGTTCACCTGTTTTATATGAGTTGGATGAGATCACTGGTTTATATGTCCTTTTCACCCTCATGGAAAGGCTCATGAAAAGGTTTCCAAACGTTCGTAGGTTGAAGTTTGGACTTTTGGTTCGTTATACCTCTGGAAGCAATAAGATTGTAGTTCCTTCATTTTTAAATCAACTAGAGTCACTTCATGTGTCAGCAAAACTGCAGAAGCATATCAATAGCACCATGTTCGAGTTTAGTTTTCCGAGAAACCTGAAGAAAGTGACATTGAGAAACTTTAGTTTGTCTGCTACGAGTCTGTTCAACCTTGGTAAACTGCCAAACCTTGAAGTCCTCAAATTAGAGGTAGTACGCTTTGAAGGGAACACATGGAGAATAGATGAAGAAGAAGAAGGGGAGTTATTCTGCAAACTCAGGATCTTGAAATTGGATTCTCAGGATCTTCAGTGTTGGAGTACTAGTTCTGAAGATCAATTTGTTTCTCTTGAGAAGTTGCAGCTACAGTCCTGCTTGTCTTTGGAAGAGATGCCTTCCTGTCTTGAAAGCATTCCGATACTCCAGATGATCCAGGTCAATAGTTGTTCAAACAATGTAGAGAAGTTTGTGAAAGGAATTGAGGAAGTTCAGAAGGGAAATGGAAATTCGGACCTGAAAGTCTTCATCTTTCCAATATTCAGTTGATTATGTAATTCTGCGCCTTCGTGAACTGGAAAAAGTTTGTTCAACTCTGGCTACTCTTTCTGTATTGATCAGAGTGTTTTGTTTACTTCTTTTCCACAATTTTTTTAGTTGGCTGTTTGATCTATGAACAATATTTTGAGCAAAACCCAAAAATAAGGGTGCAACAAGGAAAATATGAAATGGTACCTTCAAATATTTTGTTGGGAACTCTGCTATCAGCTAAATCACCTAAGGAACAGGTTCTATTTCAATTTCCATTGAAGGTAACAGCCTACTTAATATCAAACCTTAAACTATATACTTAGTACTTCCATTTATTAGTTAGTGAGTAGAAGTAGTATTCATTTGAAGGCTAACAAGAGAGAAATAGGCTCCATCTGGACCTTTAGCCAGCAATGATGAATGTGTCCCTTTCTCTACCACTTTGCCTTTGTCCAAAACATAAATGTTATCGCAATTTTGGATTGTACTTAGCCTGTGTGCCACAACCACACTGGTTCTTCCCATCATGATTCTATCAAGTGCATCTTGCACAACTTTTTCCGATTGACCGTCTAATGCACTTGTAGCTTCATCCAACAACAATATAGTTGGATTTTTTAGTACTGCCCGAGCTATAGCAATGCGTTGCTTTTGACCTCCAGAAAGTTGCAATCCTTTATCACCGCAAAATGTATCATACCCGTCCTTTAGTCCCGTGATAAACTCATGAGCATTTGCTGCTTTCGCTGCTTCAATTACCTCGGATTCATCTATGTCTACCGATGCACCATATGTTATGTTTTGGCGTATGGTACCGGCAAATAATGCCGGTTCTTGACTTACAAGTGCAATGTGTTTCCTTAAAGCTCTTAAATGATAAGATTTAAGATCTCTGCCATCAATTTTAACAAGCCCGCTTAAAGGATCATAGTATCTCTCTATCAAGCCAATTATGGTAGATTTTCCTGATCCGCTATGCCCAACCATTGCTGTCGATTTTGCTGGCTCAATTTCGAGGGAAAAACCCTCAAAGATTGCGACATTAGACCGAGAGGGATATGCAAAATGAACATTAAGGAACTCGATATGACCTGTTATCTTATCAGGTTTGTAGGCCTCTGGATCTTCAGGTTCAATTGAAGAATGTCGGTCAAGAACAGAGAAAACAGAACCCACAGCTTCTGACCCTTTGGTTATATCACTGGTCATTGTTCCTGCTTCAGCAACAGTGCGACCAATGCTGATTAGAAGAATGAAAACTTGGAAAAATGCTTCCACTTTAAGATCACCAGCCACTATAAGCTTGCCACTGTACCAGCAAGAAAGGGGAAATGTCAACAGAAGGAAAGCATTGGATGAGCCGAGGCCGATTCCAGTAAACCACGACAGCCGAATACTTTCTTGTTTTAGTCCTTCTTGAGCTTCTTGGAGAAGTTTGAGTATACGGATCTGGGAATTGAATGCGGTGATGGTACGAATGTTTGAGACGGCTTCAGAAGCTATCTTACTGCTTGTATCTTGGGCTTTAATGGCTTTTCGGGACATGGATTTCAGAATCATGTACTTCATGCAAAAGCAACAGATTACAAGAGGCTGAAATGCAACCATCACCAATGCCAGCCTCCATGAAATGATCAGACCAACTGTGCTAGCAATGGTCACTGTTGAAGTAGCTTGGATCAAAAGAGACATTCGATCACCTAGAAATGACCTTACCTGTGCATAATTACAAAAAACATTATTAGAAACAGGATTATCATCTTTTCTTTTCTTTTTCTTTTTCTTTTTCTTTTTTGTTTATTTTTGTTATTTGATTGATTGAAAAGCATACCACATTAGCGTCTGTCGCGAGTCTTGAACATATAGCTCCAGTTGAGTTTTCTTCAGCGTCAAACCACCCGATTTCAAAAGTGAGGATTTTCGAAAACATTCTTTCTCTAATCCTCTGTGTCAAGTATTCTCCCATTGCTGCAAAGTTATAATGTTGGCATATGTTTATCAAGAGTGAAAACAAGGCCAACCCCAAGAAAATCAGGCAATATATTTCTATCCTCCTCTTGATTTCTCTATGATCCGGCAGAAATAACGCTCCAATTGCTCTACCTAATGTGAAAGCATATGATGGTTGGATTGCGCCGCACAACATAGCACTTATACATCCTACAAGTCCTTGCCTCCATTCAGGTGAGTTCATGGCAATTAGTCTTCTAAATGAGGGAACCTCAACTGGCACTTTAGCTTTCACAGTAGGTCCGTTTTCATCTGCCTCCTGGCCGGGAGCAGTTGGGTAACTACTTGAAATAGACCTGCAAAAGATGATGATCCTCTTCTTGTCAGAAATTCTATTCGGTGAAGAAAATTCCAAAGAGCTCAATCAGTAAGTCAGAAACTAGATGTAACATAAACTAAAGTCAGTTGGTTTTGAGCTCGCTTTATTTCTGAAGTATTCTACAATGCTGTCCAACAAATACGCAATGTGTACTTACCTATGAATCTCAGCATTTTCATCATCTTTGTGGTTTGGAGTGATCGAAGAAATGAATGCAGAACTGGCATCAGTTTGTTGCAGTCTAATGAGGGTTGCATATGAGCCGCTTTCATCCTTCATAAGCTCATCATGTGAACCGATCTCCATGACAAGTCCATCTTGGACCACAGCAATAAGGTCAGCATTTCGGATGGTGGAAAGACGGTGGGCTATGACAATGGTTGTAACCCCAATGGCTACCTTGTCCAAAGCTTCCTGAACAACCTTTTCTGATTCTGTATCAAGTGCACTTGTAGCCTCATCTAGAAGGAGAATCTTGGGAGCTTTGATTATGGCTCTGGCTATGGCTATTCTCTGCTTCTGCCCTCCAGACATCTGAATACCCCTCTCACCCACCTGGATTGACACTCATCAGTGATTGTTAACAAGTTTTTCATATCAAATATATTTTATTTGAATTTGACTATTATGAAGGTATTGTCAAAGAAACCAACCTGAGTATCATAACCCTGAGGTAGCTGAGAAATGAAGTCATGAGCATTTGCAGCTTTTGCAGCCTCAATAACATCTTCACATGATGCATCCTCTTTTCCAAAAAGTATGTTATCCTTAATCGTTGTGGCGAAAAGGGCAGGCTCTTGATTGACTAGCCCCAACTGTGATCTTAACCATTTCAGCTGCAACCTATCAATGTTCACCCCATCAAGAAGAATATGGCCTCCAATTGGGTCATAAAACCTTTGCAACAAAGCCACAACAGTTGATTTTCCGGAGCCACTTTCTCCTATCAAAGCAACAGTCTTCCCTGCTGGGATTTTAAGGTTAAATTCCTTGAGTATTACACTTTCAGGTCTTGAAGGGTATGCAAATTCAACCTGTTTGAATTCGACTTCCCCGGAAACATTTCGAATGATTTCTCCTCCCATGTCCTCGGAGTCAATTTCAGGCACTCTTTCCACAGTTTTCATGATTCTTTCCGCTGCTTCACTGGCTTCCGAGAAGTATCTCAGGTTTGGTAAAGCAGAACCAAAAGCCCTGTTCAAAACAATATCATTGATTAAGAAACAAAAATGCATAATTCCCTGTTTCCCTTAGAATACAACAATGAAAACCAGATATGCTTACAATCCTCCATGTATAAGCGTAAATCCAACCGAGAAAACAGTCCCTCCTTTAGCACCATGGTACATAACCATTCGGCTACCGTAATAAGCTGTCAAAGACCAAATGGCGTAAGAAATGCCGTTGCTACCGACGGCCAAACCTTTCGCCAGGCCTTGCCGGAGACCTAATTGAACTGTTCTCTGAAGAGCCGCAGAGTATTTTGCCGATGTTGCATACTCCCCGACGAAGGAATAGACCGTCCGGATAGAAGAAACCGCCTGTTCGACAATTACATCGGCCTTAGTGTATTCTATCCTTTTCTTCCTTGCAATTCCCATAAGAACTCTGCCATAAACTATCCCTGGTGTTATTACCAGTATTGCACATGGGAATGCCACAATAACTAGCCTCCAGAGTAAAATAAAAGATATCAAATACGCCCCGATGAAGTTGGATACGTTCATCAAGAAAGCCGGTAGCTGAAATTTTGATTCACATATATATGAAATAATGTCAGATTATAAGCAAAAGTGAACGAATGAGGAAGCTTGGATGGATAGATTGAGCAAACCTTTTCGCCGATGAAATCTTGAATTATAAGACTATCAGTGGAAACGCTGGAAATGACCTCGGCTGTGTTTGTAACTTGCAAGTCAAAGTAGCCAATTTCTTGCCTAAGCACAGCCTTCAAATAAGTTGTCCTTAATGCACCCGCTTGCCTCTCTGCTGTCCTTGTCCAGCAATAGCCGACTATACAAAAGACGGGTCGATGTTAAAACACGAATCGTGACTCTGATACCACTTGTAACGAACTCAAATCGCAAATCTATTGAATATAACAAATTAATGATGATGATTGTGAGTTTGTATAAAAAAATAAAAAAAAATTTTACCAAGAAAGCCAGCTAACCATCGCGCAAATCCTACGTAGCACATAATCAACGCATACTGTGTACAGAAACAATGCGTTCTTTAGTTATGAACATAGAGATGATGATGAGGATGATGATGATTAGAACAAAAGAAAAGAGAACTGACATTTTTAATGCTGTGAGTGAAACTTTCATGATCGGTACTGGTCAGAGTATTTCTCTGAGCACCGATCTTGTTCATGATTTTGCCGGTGACGAGAAGCAGCAACGGCATGGTGATTCCCTCACAAACAGCTCCAAAGAATCCAATTGACATCAACAATTTGTCAAACCCATCTGCGTGCAAGAAAACTGCCTGCAATGATCCTTTTTCATTCTTCTTGTTTGCCATATTTAGTGGTTTTTTTTTTTCTTAGCTTGATAGCTTTTCAGTTTTGCTATATCGTTGCATTTGTAGCTGTAATCATAATTCGTCTCTAATTGGTTTAAATCACTTGAAGAAAGTAGTTATATATTCCCTCTGTCCCAAAATTATTGTCCAATTTGAGATTTCACTTTTAGTACAATTTGAACTAGAAATGAAAACTCAAACTGGACAATAATTATGGGACGGGGGAGTATATATATATATATGTGTGTGTGTGTGTGTGTGTACGATGATTATTGATTGGATATGTGTTTGGCTGCTGCTCTCAATTAGTATTTATTTGTGCACTTTATTTGAATGTGACTGTTTTTGCGCCACTTTCTCCCATTAGCTAGGCTGCTTTAGAAATGTCAAGTTGTCAACTAAAACGTCTTGATCTTCAACATCTTCGGTTGTCAGCTTCTCACATGATCAACGAATCTTAATCAGTCTCCCAAGTTGCATTCACTCAATGCCATCAATATTATTCCAGGTTATAAACAATAGTAGAGCGCTCCAGTAAACATAACAGTTAAACGCTTTGAAATTTTAATGTTAAGCTCATTAATTAAATAACTTTAGGAATTGAATGCTTAACTTTAATTAAATCTTCTAGTGACTACGGCTTTCAGCCGCCGAGAGAATCTAATTCTAAGCTGAAGATCTCATGATCTTTTTTTTTTTTCATTAATTCTAAAACTCAAACGAGGAAATGGGTAAATCTGTTTAGGTACTGATTAATGAGGAAATGGCGTCTCTATCACAGTCTTGATACTCTTTCTTTTTCTTTTTTTTTTCTGAGACATATTTATTAAATATAAGGCTTCCTTCTCCCTTTGATACCCATTCGGTCATTCAGAGACGCCATTGAAGAACCTTGACTAGTTGACTTCAAAACATTTCTATCACAATTATGTACGTTTGGTACCAATTGAATACACTTCAAAATAAAATTGCTTCACAATTGGTCCAAACAAACAAGGCTCGGATTCCGTATCGTTCACAAACAACTTTGGGAAGTGATTAGAGTTAATTTGAAATGCGATCAATAATTACATAGTGAACTTATAAAGGAATGGGAGCAGATTATCGTGACGGAGCCAAATAACCAATCGTTAGGAAAAACTAAACGAATCTTGAATCAAGTTATAAGGACCATTGAACTTCGGATGCTCGATCACAAGTTGTAATATCATCATCTACAAATACTGCTTATGGTTTGAAAAGGTGCCATTTTGATTCTCAAATTTTTACTACTATTATCATCTACGAATATATGATGAAAAAAGTACGATTTTGATTCTGAGGTTTTATTATTAGTATATCTACACATATGTGGTGAACTAATACCATTTCGATTCTCGCTAATACATATATAAACTTAACCCACCCCCTTCAATTACCAGAATAGAGTCCACTTCAGTGGGTTTCACTAGATTTGTCTTTTTTGAAAAGGCACTTAGATTTGTCACATGTGCAGTGTAAGCAACTTGATCATCTCCCACTAAATCACTCATATATTTTATCGTCAATAGAGCTTTTAAAACACGAAACTACACTTTCTTGGTTCAGTCACATTCATTTCCCCCTTTTCTTTCTTTTTCTTCTCTAGCTTTTAGTCTCTTTTTCTTCTTATGATGAATTGATTATCGTTATTTCCCTTTTTTTCTTCCGTTATCTTTTGGCTTTTAGTCTACTTTTCTTCTTTCTTTCATGTATTAACAATGATGACCTGATGATCTTTAATTCTTTCTAGTTAAAGTCGCATGTATTCCCAGCTTTATCCATGTTCTTTTCATTTGATGGTCGTCGCAAGCCTCAGTCCCTTTCCTTTTCCTTTTTTTTTTTTAAACAAATAAGAAGTCTCTTATTCTTTCTATCTCGAAATGTTTGTTTAGTTTACATTATCGTTTCTAATATAATTTGAACTAAAAGTGAAAATCTAAATTGGATAATTTTTTCGAAATATGAAAATATAATATGTATATATTAAAAGAAAAAATTCAAACTTGACAATCAATTCGGGACGGAAGTATCAGGGTATAGGATGCTATGTTCGGTTGGCCTACCTAATTGGATGCTCTTGCTAGTGAAGCTCTCAAATTTGGAAACTGTCATTCTGAACATGAACATGTAGAGGACATGAGATTCAGGTTCGAAATAGATTCTGAATTTCACGGAAGTTATTGCAATTTTACAAAAGTCTTGACAATATTGATCTGATTAATATGAATGGAATAAGATTTCTGGTTTGACTATGATTATTTTTTCTTTCTTCACAAAAGATTTTCAAACAATCAAAGGTTTGACATTCAAACCTTCCAGATTCTGTGTTACCGATTGGGCATTGACCCATATTGCCGGAGTAAGACTTCTGGCATCTACCATTGCTGTCCCTGTCCTTCCTCTGCTACTAATTCAATGTGAAGTCAGCTGCTGTGATTAGGGATTTTATGATGAAAAACAGAGGTTGACCAGAAGTATCTCATATCCACTCATCAGTTTGACTTCTTCTCCATCAGTTGATGCCATTTACTATACTCTCTCTGATCTAAAGCTAACATTCTTTTAATAATCCCAGTTATCCACCATTCAGATTCAGTTTTTTTAAACAACAAAGATGGAAGCACAAATGTATGAATGGTTTAGCACTCTGTTTCACACTAATCGGTGATCAAATTTCTCCTTCGAAAGGTGAAGTCTTGGACATCATAACTTCCTTTCTAGAGTGCTTAGAGCAACATCAGAGTTCAATGGTCAAATTCCCAGGAGTTACATGTTGTGGCTATTGTGGGTATGCAGGGACTTGGCAAAACCACTTTGGCTGAAATTTAAAGACAATGTTCAACAATTGTGACAAGGAAAAATTTCAAATTCCAGAGGTTTTTGAAGGAAAAAGAAATCATATAAACCACATTAAAGAGTTCAGAACAAACTGACCACCTGTTAATTAAATCAGAAGAGTCAATACTCAAGACAGGCTCAAAATGTTACATCAAAGCCTACAGACTGTGTGATTGTGAACTATGATTGTGTATTTAATATTCTTGGAACTCTAAATAACACGAAAAACTGAAAACAGATTAAGCAAAATGCTCAACTCAATGCTTAATTAGTCGACCTCCTCAATCTTGGGACCAGATCTAGAGGAAGAAGGAACACTGCCATCATCCATGGATGCAGCACCATCAGCGCCTTGGCACATCTTGGCGATGATCGGGTTGCAAACTCCTTCCAGCTCCTTCATTTTCTCCTCAAACTCATCAATTTCAGCAAGTTGGTTGCTCTCCAGCCACTGGATGCTGGCCTCAACAGCGTCCTCAATCTTCTTCTTGTCAGCGGGGGCAAGCTTGGAACCGACTTTCTCATCCCTCACCGTGTTCCTCATGTTGTAGACATAGTTTTCCAAGGCATTCTTGGCCTCAACCTTCTTCCTGTGCGCTTCATCCTCTGCCTTGAATTTCTCAGCTTCTTGACGCTTCCTCTCGATTTCTTCATTGGAAAACCTACCAGTTTCATTAGTAATGGTGATCTTGTTCTTGTTTCCAGTGGTCTTTTCCTCAGCAGACACGTTGAGAATACCATTGGCGTCGATATCAAATCACACCGAAATCTGTGGAACACCCCTTGGAGCTGGAGGAATGCCTGAAAGCTCGAATTTACCCAGCAAGTGATTGTCCTGAGTCCGCGCCCTCTCTCCCTGATACACCTGAATCAACACACCGGGTTGGTTGTCGGAGTATGTCGAGAAAACCTGCTCCTTCTTGGTGGGAATGGTAGTATTGCTTGGAACCAAAACAGTCATGAGGCCACCTGCGGTTTCGAGACCGAGCGAAAGCGGGGCGATGTCCAAAAGCAAGATATCTTTCACCTTCTCAGTATCCTCACCACCACTCAGAATGGCAGCTTGGACTGCAGCACCATAAGCAACCGCCTCGTCCGGGTTGATGCTCTTGCAAAGCTCTTTCCCGTTGAAGAAGTCCTGAAGGAGTTGTTGGACTTTGGGGATTCTAGTAGAACCCCCAACAAGAACAACATCGTGAATGGAGTTCTTGTCCATCTTGGCATCCCTCAAACACTTCTCCACCGGGTCCATACATTTTCGGAACAGATCCATATTGAGTTCCTCGAACCTGGCCCGAGTCATGGTTGAATAGAAATCAATGCCTTCGAAGAGTGAATCAATCTCAATGGTTGTCTGAGCGGTGGATGAAAGTGTCCGCTTTGCCCTCTCGCAGGAGGTGCGCAACCTCCTCAGGGTCCGAGGGTTACCGCTGATATCCTTCTTGTTCTTCCTCTTAAACTCCTGAACAAAGTAATTCACCAATTTGTTGTCAAAATCTTCACCTCCAAGATGTGTGTCTCCAGCTGTCGACTTAACCTCAAATATTCCATCCTCAATGGTGAGAATCGAAACATCAAAGGTTCCGCCTCTGAGATCGAAAATCAGCACGTTTTTCTCGCCGACACTGGTTGCCTTCTTGTCCAGACCATAAGCAATGGCAGCGGCGGTGGGTTCGTTAATGATTCGCAAGACGTTGAGACCGGCGATAGCTCCGGCGTCCTTGGTAGCTTGACGTTGGGAATCATTAAAATAAGCCGGAACTGTCACCACAGCATTCTTCACGGTTGTACCAAGGTAAGCCTCGGCAATCTCCTTCATCTTAATCAGCACCATGGAAGAGATCTCCTCGGCTGAAAATTGCTTTTCTTCGCCCTTGTAGGTAACAACAATTGCTGGCTTTTCACCGGCTCCAGGGATGACCTTAAAAGGCCACAAACTGATATCGCTCTGAACCGATGCATCCAAAAATCTTCTTCCGATCAACCTCTTTGCATCAAAGACGGTGTTGATCGGGTTCATGGCCACCTGATTCTTGGCGGAATCTCCAATGAGACGCTCCGTGTCGGTGAAGCCTACGTAGGACGGAGTTGTCCTGTTTCCCTGATCGTTGGCGATGATCTCAACACGGTCATGCTGCCAAACGCCGACGCATGAATAAGTCGTTCCGAGATCGATTCCGATTGCTGGTCCTTCACCTTTTCCTGCCATCGTTCTTCTTCTTCAAGCGAGCTTTTCTCTTCTTCTACGCGGAAAAAAAAAATCGGGAGCTGAGTATTCTACGGTTTAGGGTTGCTGAGTATTCTAGGATTTAGAAGGAAAAAAAAAACATATGATGGTCCAGATGTTGTCTGCCGTGGGGTATATATAGTAGAATTCCTTGTCCGGAAAACGCAAGGATTAGGTAATTGCTAAAATAGTATTCCGACTAATTCTAGAAGCAATCGGAAGCTGCTAGAACTTTCTTATCATAGAACTCCTCCGCTGGAAGTTTCTGGAAAGCTTTAGAAGGATCCTCCACCGCAGTTGAACCCATTTAGGAATTTTGTTAATTCGTTAATTAAGTAATGCAAACAGTGAGCTTAAAAAAAATTACTACGTTGTTAATTAATTAATAAACTCTTTAAGTCAAATATAATAATTCAAACAGTTAAATGAGCATTACGACTATTAAGGGCTCCATGATACAAATAGCAATAGTACTCTCGATCGGACTTTACTAAAAAGGGGTTTATGATTTTCATTTGGCTAGCGATACTGCCAGTAAAATGATTAGCCGTCCGAGCAAATTATACATATCTTTCCAATACTACCCTTAATAGGTTAAACTGTAATTTTCCTCCATGGCCTTCTTTACACTGCAACCCCCGACCAAAACCGTTGTGTTGGTCAATTAGCATTTAGCAATTCTCACCAAACAGACCATAATCAACTAATTATTCTCTTTCTAACATTTATTTTTTTTGGCGACCATCACATAGCATTATATACAAATTTTTATCCCAATTTTAAAAGTAGAAACCAAAATCTTCTCTTCAGAGTTCCAATCTTCAATTGTAATATAAAATCTAAGTTATCAAACCTCAAAAAATTCATATCAAAGTGAAGAAGAGAAGGCTATCAAATTTTGATAAATTCATGTTTAGGAAGAAGAATAAGATTCTTATCCACTAAAACCTGAAAGCAAGCCATTTTAGACAAACTCATCTATAAGTAAAGAGTAAGGACGCAATAATAGAAATGAATAGTAAAAAAAATCCACAAATCCAATTCCATTCAACAAGCAAAATAGAAAGCCTCGTCCACTGAAAAGAACTCGCACTAGAAAAGACAAGTTCCTGTAAACTGAAACCAAAAACTCATATTTTTTAACTTGTGGATGTGCCACAGGATTGAAGCTTTTGTATGCATTCCCATACTTGCTGCGGCTGTCGAGAGATGGGAGAGAAGCGTTGACACTTATCGCATTTCTGTACCCACTGGTATGCGTCCTTGAAGATTGTTGGCCAGAAATATCCTGCCCGCAAGACCTTCTTGGTGAGTGCTCTCGCTCCCATATGTGCTCCACACGATCCCTTGTGTATTTCTTCGAGCACATAAGCTGCCTGATTTAGGCCAATGCATCTTAGCATGGGTAGCAGGTACCCATGCTTGTATAGGATGCCATCTTGCAACGTGTATTTGACTGCCTTCAACCGGAGGCCTCTGGCCTCTGCTTTTTTGTTTTGTAATGTTCCATCTGAAACCAAAAACTCATATTTTTTAACTTGTGGATGTGCCACAGGATTGAAGCTTTTGTATGCATTCCCATACTTGAGAGGGGTTTTAGACCTTCCTCATAGCAACTATTTACCACCATTAACACTGAGAACTTTACGAGAAATTAGTTTTCAATTCTAAAACTTTTGAGGCAACTCATGCCCAAGTAACAAGAAGATGATAGAGTCCAGTTGATTACAAGAAATCTCTTTATTAATCATTTGCAAGGAAATAGACTAGCCACCAATCCATAGAAGAGGGAGGGATATGGGAAATTCTAACCATCTCTGTGTTTTGTTCTAATCCACAAAAACTAAAGAAACGTCAAAGCAAAATGGAAGAGATATAAAACAGTTTGACTAATTAAAGGTAATGTCGAGAAAACATATATAATATGCTCTGGCAACTAATTTTTGTATTGACATTATCACTAGCCCTTTCTTTTATAAATGGTTCCTTAATTTCTGACACTGGACATATATATTACCTCTGGTTATGACTGTCCAATTTTTAAATTTATTTAATATAATGAACATGACATTTATTTTGAAGACTGAAGATTTTATATGATCAGATCTCACAAAGGTATAAATAAGCGCAACTGGGTCATTAGGTCTGTACACATATGAATAAATTGAACAATGAACCACATAATGCATTTTGCACCGAATCAACTATAGAATTGTGGTGGCTAAGTTGTGGTATTTGCTTTGTGAAAAACTAGTAAAATTACCCACGTAATGTTAAATGTTTGTCCACGGATTTGTCCGTAGCTAAAATATTCACCAAATGCCCGACTATTAATTTGCGACAAAGTATATAACCATGTCCAAGTGGTTATGATCAAACCCGTGAAAAATTAAATTATCTATGGACATAAAGGCAAAATTATCCATTCTTGTGTCTACATTCAAACTATTGTTTTCTTGTAATAATGAGTATATATTAATACACAATTCACCAAATTCAGTCCACCATCTCATTTTATCTTAAGTGGCATAAATTAATCCATTAGTTAAGAATCTAATGCATTGCTTTTTATAAATCACATCGATCACCTTACCCTCCTTAGAAAGGTCGCCTATTCAAACTAGGTAGCTTTTGGCGAACAGGGAAGGAAATTTACGTGAATTTATGACTTTAGATATATAAACCATTGATTTGTTCAATCGTCGATACATCAACTAATTGATTAAGTTTGGCACCCATATATTATACAACTAAAAATCTCTTACATTAATTTCCTACTCGGCATTGCAAAATATTTTTTTAATAATTTTATAATCTGTATTGATATTTACACCATTACTATTTTTTTTCTTACTTCTATACTATTTTAAAGATTTTTAAACTTTTTAAATATTTTTTTAAAAATATAACAGAGGAAGATAAATTATTTGGGCTTGGAATCGGAATTGGTGTAGCGAAAGTAACGTTGTAAATTGTTATGAATAGTCCAATAAGAAAGGTCTAGACCCGACCCGAAAGGGGAGAAGTGGGAGAAACGGGGCAAGAAAGAGTTCAAGAATAGAGAGACAGAGAAAATGAGAAAGAAGAAACACAATTATTTATAGCTAATTAGAGACCTGAACGACACCCTTTATATTTTAATGGACTAATATTTGCAAAACCACTTGGCAAACGGTCGATCTTTCTGTCTCATACCACTTTCATGTTCGGGCATGGATCGTTGTATCGCAAACGGCAGACAAAAAAAGAGTGTTCCGTTGACATGTTCGTTCAAGAGGTTAAATCCGATACAACTTTGCGGGATTTGATGGAAAAATTATGGCAAAGTTTAAAAGGGAAGACATATCTTATTGTTTTAGATTATATATGGGACATTGAAGCATGGCAGAGCTTACGAGAAGCATTTCCTAAAGATTCTAAGGGAAGCAGAATACAGTTGACCAGCTGACGAAGCTTGGTTTCGCGCCGCCGGTCTAACAGTGGAACTCCGGCTAGGGTTTCCTGCAAAATAGGGTCTCGGGGTATCCCGAGGGTAGACACTCCGATGCTTAAGTCAATAAAGGGTTGCTGGAAGGTTTAGGTATGTAGTATGTTAAGCTATAGATTGCGTACCTGTATTGTGGTGCGAGCAACCCTATTTAAAAGTATGAGAATACCTGGGAAATTCCTGAATCTGATTAGGTTTCAGGAACCTAAATCGCCTCAGGAGTCCCGGTTGGACTCTCCTTTCGGTTGATGGGCCGGTCCAGTCTCGGTGATGGTTATGGACTCGTCAAGTGCCCCTGTCAAGTGTTAGTTGTATAAGATAAACAACGCTTGGCACAAGGTAAGTGTTACCTGGGACAAACCCGAGAGTGGATAGGCTACTCTCGTTCAGCTAGTTGTCGAGCGACGTGTCAAGTGCCCTCGACCCCAATGCACAACTCTCAATCTTATACTCCCGGGAGGTAACCAGCGGGTTGAGTCTTGATCCGGGAAGGTGATCCGTCTCATAGTCCCGCCCAAAATTTCAATCATGCGTTATTAGTGGACACGTTCCCCAAACGGCGGCTTCACCATCATTACCCCCTTGAAACTCCCCCTAACTGTCATATCGTGGGCTGTAATTAAGGAGGCGTGGGAGAATAATTTTCATTTTTAAGGAGAAGGCTCTATCATTCCCCTTTCACTTGTTAGTTTTCCCTTTTCACAAAAACTAAAATTATCCTCTCTGTCAGAGTGCTCCGACTGTCTTCGCCGGAATATTCAAGCCTCCACCAACATATTGCCCCAGCGACATTATCACCAGGGGATTTGCTATCAGGAACTTGGAAGAACACTGGGAAGCTACAACTCGAAAGGTGAGTGGTCATATCCTCCTCCAATAGTAAGTTTTCAGATCTGACTATCCTCGGTGTCATTTGAAGTTTTTGTCTTTTCAAACTGTAGCCAGGGTGAATTTGTATCAAAATCATGGTTAGAGATTCGGAAGGAAAAACTGTTGATGACTTTGCATCCACCATAGATTCTGTTGATAAGGTAGAGAACATTAGAATAAGATATAACTTTCCTTCAGATCTAGAGGCGAGAGCCCCGTTAGGAAAAGAGAGAGCCAACTCTCCTCCTGAGGGAAGAATTACTGTGTATGACCGATTTATGCATCTAGGGCTTAGATTCCCCCTCTTCCCTCTGTTCGAGGAGATTGTGCAGCACTATAAGACTCCCTTGGCTCGTTTTACGCAAAATTTAATAACTTTTGTTCTGGGATTTGCAAAAGTATGCCAACATGTAAAACTGAAACCTCGGTTAATACTGTGGAGGTATTTCTTCCATGTAACTATTGCCTCGACCTCTTTCCAAGATTGGTATATTGTGAAGAGACGCCTTAGATCCGGCGTCAAAAAGATGGTCGAGGCGTATGGCGGCTCTCCTGAATGGAAGCCGGACTTTTTTTTTGTAAGGGCGTCCAAGAACTATTGCCTGTCGTGGAACCATCGAGAAACGGAGGGTCTTGGAGCAATAAAGGATGAGTGGATCCAAGAAGATGATAAGTGCATCGAGGAGCTTGATGCAGACGTGGAG